GGAACTGGGGTGTGATCACCCAGCACAGGACTCTGGTATCCTGGAGGGGAGGTGTATGGCTGCCTAGCCATATAGTATGGGGGTGACTCCATCCACATGTAATATATGATGTGGTTGCAAAGTAAAGTATATTTGTTGTGAACACAATGCTATACAACATGGGGACAAATACATGTAAATACAATGATTCTAGATCATGCAAGGAGTATATACTACCATGCCGTTACAAAGCCCCCCCTGTGAGATTGGAGCATCGTTGAGTATAGTGTTTGAAAGTCCAGTCCGGTCCGGCTTTTTGGTGCTCAGTGCCTTAGACCGTAACCATAACCAGTCCTCCCAATTCAAAAAACTTCAAAAAACCGGACCGAACCACAAGAGACCGGTCTTTTGCGGTTACGAGACCAGTTTTGACTGGTTCTGGTCTTAACCAGTTTGCAACTGGTCTAAACCGGTCTTTGTAGGGGTCAGGTGGCCAAGAAACAACAATATACTAAATATTTTAATGTACAAAGGAGGGGGTCACTGTACACGACTTGGTAACAATGCACACAGGTAACTATGGATGTCTTCACATCCAACTTGACCATTCGTTGACACACCAGGTCCTTGTCAACATACGCCATCTGTCCATGTACCGTCATTGTTCTTCTGTTATGTTGCCATCAACATATGCCATCTGTGTCGTTCATTCATGTATCGTCATTCCTGTTGTCCATCTGTGTGTAAACATCGTCATTCATGGGTTACTGGTTGACATGTTATCGATGGCAACGTGACCCCTGCTTCTCATGTCAAAAAAGGAGAGGGGGAAGGGGGTAATGGTTGCTCACCTGGATCGATGTCAACCTATGTGGTCATCTCTGGCCGCTACCTGCCATTTGTGGGTGTTGTCGTCGTGCCAAATCATCGTTGAAATGGCGTGGACTCAACAATTCAGTTGGTGATGTGGTGTGGCCACATCATCATCACCGTTAGCATGTGCAGGCATCGTCGTTGGGTGTTGTTGTCATGCCAAGTTGTCATCGAAATGACGTGGGCTCATTGATTCAGTTGGTGACGTGGGGTGGCCACATCGTCATCACCGTTAGTGTGTGCAGAGATGGTTGGGGTGGTCGAACAGGGAGGGGGTGGTTGTGGTTGCAGCCACATCACTGTAACAACATGCCCTGATTTTTGTGTGAATAAAGGTGAGAGGGAGAGCAGTCACATTGCTCACCTCCAGTAATGTAGATAGTGACGACATGAGTCATCATTGTCACTATCTGGACAACGTGGGACACCCATTGATGTGCCATGTTGTTGCCGTCCATCGTCGTCGTTCATCCGTTGGGTGGTGACATGGCCTTGCCAAGTTGTCATCATTTTCTGCATAGTTGGCGGCAGTTGAAGGATGATTGCGAGAGGTGGTGGTTGGTGGTGGCAATGGTGACGGATTGGAGGTGGTTGCAGGGATGGTGGTGTGGTGGTGGTTGAGAAGAAAATACTTTGTTTGTTGATGAACATTACTATTTGGTTCTCATCAAAAACATATGAGGTTCAATCTATTCTAAGTTTGGCCCTCAAGACTCGAGCACGAAAGACCGGTCTTTGACTGGTTAATTCAGTTTTTGCTTGGTCTTGAATTATTGAAAGTCATAGAGGACCATAGACCAAACCGCGGTTATGGTCTTTGTCAGTCCTATTAATTTCCGGTCTTGATCAGTCACAGTCCGGTCTGGTCACAGTCTTTTTCCAGTCCTGTGACCGGACTTCCAAACACTAGTTGAGTAATTAATTTCCGTCCCGTCCTCATATTCTTGTAGCATCCTCATCTCTGACCTCCCACTCAGATCACGCAGGGTCTGCCTCCATCAACTCAGCAATTTCAACTAGCTCATTCACCAGGATTTAAATCTGGTAATCCGGTGAACCTGGGGGCTCAGGCTGTAAATCAGGCTGGACTGTTCAATCTATATGTTAGGACATCTGATAATCGTGATGGAAGGGGAGGTAGCAAGGAGTTGATGGGAAGACAAGGCAATTTTTGGTGGAGGTCCCATTTTATTTCCATTCCACAAGAGGTCTTCAATACTGAGGAGGTGGCAAATGGGTTCACAGTCGCATTCATGCTTGACCTTATATAGCATAATTGCTAGCAATGCAAACTTGATTAGAGCAAGCACGGTAGGTGTTACCAACTCCGTCACCAGGGCTCCGGTGGCTTGACCATTCAAAGGTATAGGGAACCCAGGCTGCAACCTTGCAGTGCTTCCTTTATCCAGACAGGTCCTCAAGTTTAGCTTATGGAATACTGCATGAGCCATGTTCGTGCCAGAGGGTGGCAGGACATTATACAGTTGCAATATCATAGTGTTTCCCCTAACCGGACTGGATTTCATGTCTAGTTTATGGAATACCACATACACTGTGTTCATGCCATAAGGAGGCAGGATATTACGTAGAAATCTTACAGTCACAAGAGCATGAGCAATCAGCAATAGAGGAGTAACTAGCATTGTCTTGCTAGTGGACAAAGGGAGCATAGAAGGATGAGTTGGTAAATTTTGATTGTGAGGGACAGGAGTTTGTTTGGGAAGTGGTGAATGGTGCACATAATGACAATAAGAGAGGGAAGATGAGGAGCGATGGTATGGGGGTCAGTTTCTACCATAAGGTAGTAGGGCATGTGGATACAATGTTTCAGAGTACACAGATAAAGTCAGTGAATGATGATAAGCTTGAGGAGAGGGACACCAAGCATGGTGATAGCGATCTGGCAGAGGTGAGGTTTGGCAAGAGTCACAAGATCATTGAACACCTTCTTCCTGGACTTGTTCAGTGTCGAAAGGGTTAGGCCATTGATGAATTGATCACTCATTCCCTTTATGACAGAATACGCAAGTCTCTGGTCTCTGAATTTGCTTCATTGAGTCCATTCCAAACCAGGAGCCATGGCTCAGTTCCTCGCCTATTCTGAGTATTTGCTTCATGGCACATCTCAAACTGTTCACTTCAGCAACTATCACGGTTCAGATAAGCGTGGATTCCTTTGAAGTTGATGTTTTGTGGAGCATTAGATTGGGTGATGTGGTCTCCAAAGGGCTCACACTGTTGAGATTATTCATCAGTTTGTTATTGAGGTCAAGATCAAAAGATCAGGGATGTCTGTTGAGGCCAATGATGACACTTCAGAGCTGCAGGAAACAAGGCTCAGGTAGTGTTGCCGTCGAAGTGAAGTGACTTCAATGTGACTTCGATTCGGTTCAAAAATCACACCACTTTGTGTCACTTCGAGGTATCGAAGTGAGTCGAGGTGAATTTGTGATGGCCATCAATAATGGCTAGAAAAGGAAGGTTGGCGCACGTGAAGCACCGCGTCGAGGCGCGTTTAGTGGTCTTTAGACTCTTTACAGTTGCGATTCGACACTCTCCCTCTTTCTCCTCCCTCCCTTCCCCAATACAATCTTAAATCACACCAGTTTTATGTGGCTGAATGTATAGTACCAGTTTCTTTCAATTTATGAGTGTCGTATGATAAATTTTGCTTAGGAAAGAGGGGTGAGCATGGCGACTATAAAGTCTCAAAAGAAATTTGTTCTCTGCAACGCGACAAGATTTTCACAGAGAATATCGAGGCTTTGCGAGTGCTGAAGTTCTCATATGAGAAAACCATCTCAGTTTCGTTGCTGATCTCATAGCTGAATGACATGGACAACGCCAATATAAGATCCAGTAGCGCAACAGTAGCAGCACATGTGCCAGTACCCGACTGATGCCCAGCTTGTATTTCACTCCCCCGCCCCACCATTTTCAGCATGAAGGCAGACCTGCAGATGAGAGCCCTGCTCTTCATCCTCCTTCTCTCTTTTCTTTGTTTGTGAAGTGTGCAAGAAGGATTACACTATCTCAACGGAGGCTGCTTTTGACGGGGATTTATTTCAGAACTCGAAAGATATTGATACTAAAGTACCTGGGTGATACTAAGTAAATACTACATCATGTATTCAAGTACACGACAAGTTACTACAATGTTCAGCACCAAGAATGCGAACAATATTATTGGCTGATCAATTTACAGGGATCACTGAATTCACTTTGATTCACTTCGAAAGACCGAAGTGGATCGAAGTGCACACATTTCCCCACTTTGATTCGCTTTGGTTCACCTCGCGGCAACACTAGGCTCAGGTGCCATGTCTGGAACAAAATAATGCCTAATCGGGCGTTATTTAACACCCCAATCAAAAATTAACACCCAATTGGGATTGCCATCAAAATTAACACCCGAATAGGCAGGCAGCCTCTAACACACACAATCTTCCACAAAACCATAATTTGCACCGCAGGCTGAGAAAAAAAATACCTGTATTCTATGTTTACCTCTACTTATGTGGTCAGTAAAATTTGATAGGCAAAATGTCTGAAATCACAGTAATGTAGTTAACACCTGTTCTGGAACCTGGGAAATTTTAACACCCAAATAGGCAGCTGCTTGAGCAGTTCACCTCCCTACAGGCTTTTCTTGTCATGTTATGCGCCGCAGGCCAGAAAAATATTTGAATAGCTCACTTTACTTGTGATAAATTGTAGGATACTCCAATTTGAACCCAGAATGCATTTTTGAACAATGTATCAGAATGCTTTTAGCATTTTGGTCTCTGAAAGGATCGCTGCGGAGCAAGTCGACCTTGCTAAATTCAATCAGTCGGATGTTGAGTTGGCAGCTCTCCTATCCTTGAATTCAGAGGATTCGGATTCAGAGCATAAGACCGTCAGGGGGAAAAAGGGGATTTCAATCCCAAAAGTCACAGTGGTAGAAATCGAAGACGAATCATGGGCAGACCTACGGAAGTTACCCAAGTCCTCTGCTCACATATTGGAAGAGATCGTGGAGGAAACCTCGGAGCTGAACTTCGAATTACAAAAGTGAATCCTGCCGTGGAGCTCCCGCCGACCTTAGACGCGACTCGTTGCTCGTACTTGGCTCGTACCATCTGCTGTAGCTCAACACCAATAGAATCCTACATTCTCGAATACCAAGACTCCATCGTATAATCCTTCTTTGGCCCCTTGACCACATACTCAATCTTCCACTTCTCGAGATCTGCACCCTTGAAGAAAAACGTGTACGACCCATCATAAGTATCCGGACTGCAATAGTGACTGGCCTTTGCCCTCCATGGCAACATCGTACTTTGAGAGGCTTGGATAGGGGGAGCGTCTAACGAAGGAGGTTCGATGATGACCTGGTGGAAACGACTGCCACGTGAAACTGCGTCGTCCCGCTGTGCAAAGAATACTTCGAGTTTGTCTTTGGATTCGTCATATCGATAAATGTAGCGCTGCGTCCCAGAAAGTTTGAGCCCCGTTGAGGTGCTAAATTCTGTCTTTTCTGAATAAAAGTATTCCGTTTCGTAAATTTGATGATCGGATTCGAGGTGCGATTCCGATAAAATCTTTCTGGGGGTAAATTCTGCTGTCCCAATGCTTGGCCCAGAGGGATAGTCAGGGAGATGGGAGGTGTAGGTTCGGTTCAGTACCCAGGTTCCATGAAGAGAGCGGAAGATAGCCGCTGCAACGAAGAGAGCTGAATTTGCAGATTGAGAGAGGGTATGCTCGAGGGTATCTAGGAGCGAGGGGGTTTCTTCAGTGACACATTGGTGATTGGAAGATGGCAACCAGAAAGGACGTGTGAGACGATGCGGAGCAAAGATATCATGTGGCTGAATGAGACGTTTGTTAGGCCCGGGACAAGAAGGCGAAAGTGGAGTTCCTATTGTTTGAGCCAAGTCACTGCAAAATTTCACATATTCCCTCGGCCATTGCGCTCTAGGTCTGCTGTCTATAACTTGTTTCTCCAAAGCAAGGCCTTCTTCGAACTGGTTGGGAGAAGGCCACGAAAGCGACCCAGAAAACAAACCGGCACACCACTGGGCCTGTAGTTCAATGCTAGCCCAATATGGACCACGGTATTGTCCTACAAACGCGGCATTTGGAAAGGAAGGATGCAGGGTACCGTGGTGGAGTAGAAATGGGAGAAAGCGGTCGTTCGGGGAAAAGTTGAGGGCAGACAGCAGAGACGGTGGCAGGATGGTCGATGCCGAAGATGGGCGGAAACCAGTAGCGAAAATGATATCCGTCATGTTTGAGAGAGGTGACGAGTTCTCGGGATCGAGATTCAAATTAGAACCAAAGATAGTAGAAAGATGACCTTTGTGGACTATGATACGACCAGAGCGGACAAAATTGGTGTACATATCCGAAACAGCAACGTGTGGAGGCGAGTTCATATCAGCTTTCATGTCAGCTGAGAAATCAGACAGGTTCCCAGAAAAAGAACGCAAATACTCGTTCATTTCTCTCCATCGTTCTTGTGTAGATGAATGGGTTTGCACCGGAGTGGGATATCGATAAAGCACCAAATCTAGAGGGAGAAATGATGTCCCAGGATCCTCGACATCCAGCGGGAGATGTTTCGGGACGACCCAGAACTGACGTGGGACGACGTGGTGTACGGAAGCAGCATGAGGGGTGATGTCATCCGCAACTTCAACGCCACTATGGGAGCCGCCTATTATTGCGACATGCTTGCCTTCAAAGGGTTTATGAGAGGAGTAGAAGGAGGAGTGAGATACGGTTCCTGGAAAAGTCTCGAGGCCAGGGATGGCAGGAATATATGGTTCCGAGAAAAAGCCACATGCGATAATAAGACGATCAAATATAGCGGTTTCTTGCTGTCCAGACCTATTAGACCATGTCACGGACCACCTTTTATCGTCTCCCGGACTCTTCACGCCAGTAACTTTACATCCCAGAGAAATCGTTGCAGGCTTGAGATATTTGTGAGCGTACGCGGCCAAGTAGTCGCCCACTTGACTAGCTGTTGGGAATGTGGGTGCGCTCTCGGGCCAAGGAAAATCTGAGAAACAGCAAGTGTACTTGGAGAGATTCGTCCGCATCGATGGACGACATAGCTTCGAAGCAGGCGACCACAATCCCCCTATAGCCTCTGCTGATTCAAACACGCGAGCCGATAAACCAGCTTCAAGTGCTGCTTTGGCGGAGGCAAGACCTGCTGGTCCTGCACCTATGCAAAGCTTATAGTAAGTTAAATCGTCATTGAGAAGGCAGACATTGAGTCGTACCTATGATGGCGACTGTGCACGACATGCTTTTCTTGAACCTGGAGTCGAAGTCAGAGTCCTCATACTATTAGTATCATCGGCGGTGGTAGATTGGCGGTGGCCACAGATCTTCAGAATGATGAGTCACGGAAACGGGTCACAAGCCTCGTCCTGCACCGTTAGAAGTATCAAAATTTCGTCGCAAATTTCATTCAATTTCGTGCGTTCGCCGTTGTCTGACTCGTCTGCTCTCAAGTACGCCTGTTGAAGGGGTCACTATCTTGTCACCATCACTAATAGTATCAGCCACTACGTCAAACATATGCATTATCTGACTCCTGGCGATAAAGTGCGCCGAAGTGTAGCGAAGTCCTGCCTCTAACACAAAACCTACCATATTTCGCTCAATCGTTATACCTTCCTTGATCCATGAATCGTGATAACTGCTGGCGAGAAAGCCAATGGACACCACAACACAGCCTACATTCCCCTCGTACTGACATGCTTGCGTAGTAAATGAATCCAAGACGCACGAGCAAGCAAAGATCTCAAGGCCAAGACTCCAGCTCGACGCTAAACCAATCAGGCAAATTTAGCCACAGCTCTTCCCTAGCAGCATCCACAGCAGCAGAGAACTCCAACCGACACGGTTCACAAGCACGAAAGGCAACATTGATTCTTCCGTGAGGACCGTTCCTCGTCTGCATCAGGTCCGCATCCATCATCGCGAAAAGCGGGTCCGTCGTCCGATGTAAAACCACGCCATTGACGTCACGTACCATCTCAAAAGTGATAGCCTCGAAAGACGCTCGACAAGTACGTTGAGACATCATTTCCACACTGTTCTCGAGTCGATCGGTTCGATAAATGCAGCTCACAGAAGATCCTCGGCCCTCGAGGTGGCTTACGATGAAGCTGGACAAAAAGCGCGCGACGTGTTCTTTACCGCGAAAAACGTTCATCACGTCATCGTCGTGGAGAAATTGGCGCTCGGCGTCGGTGGGCGAGGCGGGGTGTCCCATAACGATGTCGCTTGGAGAACAGCGGGAGAGGTCGTAGTAAGCTGACGGGAGAAGCTCGGGTGCCTTTGCCTCTCGTGCAAGGTTAATGACCAGTCTATTGAAGGAGGATGGGCATGGTATAAGGAGAAGCGGGGAACCAAGTGCTTACAATGGATGAGGGTATATCGAACGCGGTTCGTAAAAACCAGCTTGATTCGTAGCTTCAGCTTCTCTAAACTCCCAATGCCCGAGGGTCCTAGGCCATACTGGAGACATGATACGGATGATGTCGTTGCGGAGGTGGTCGACTTCGTATTTTGTCGACAGCCGTAGAATCGCCGAAGTGGTCTCAAAGTCCTTAATCTTGTAAGTCAAGGTAGACCTTATGAAGCAAGAAGAACTCTTCAGCGACGGGACCATCCCTGGCGGGCCGACTCACACGCCATCATAAAGAGCACGGAGGAAATAGTACAGCTCGTTTGGTGAATCGCTTAGTTCTACAACGGGTCTTGTCTCGAGAAAAACAGGCAGCTTGCAATTGAGCTCCTTGATCGCTGTTGCCAGAGGGGCAGAGTGTCGACAGACGAGGCCTTGATGAATGATGAAGTAGTAGCTCCCAGAAAGCACAGCGATGTTTCCGTCGTCGAAGCAGAGATCGGGGTGCCGACGTGGGGGAAGTACGATTTCAAGAGGTCTTTCAAAGCCTACGACGTGGCGATTTGTGCTAAAGTCGTCGCTTAGTGTCATGAGGTACTAGTGAAGGGGGAAGCAAGAATAAGTACTACAGTGCTGAGTCAGCATTATAGGTGAACAGAATACTCACAAGATATTGCACACGAATTGTTGCGCAGAAAGCACACAGAGTATGTATTGAGTATGTACATAAACGAGTTTCTTGCAAGGGTCATTGATGACCATGTGCATGAATGAATCTGGATGGCATTCGTCTGATGTCACTTCAATGTAGGCTAACGCACCTGAGGCCTCTTTGAAAACAACGCCACGTCCATTTGAGAGGTGCACCCTCTTATTATCGCCAGTACTGGTTGCCAGCGATGTCGACGTCTCCTGAGAGTCGGTGTCACGCGATGAGCATCAACGGCTTCAAAATGATCAAGTCGTGAGAAACAAATCGTCTTTTTTACTCCAACCTGCCCACCGAATATCCGCACTAAAAAACCATTTTTTTATCCACCCCAATCACCATGCCTGAACCCGTTCCTCAACGCATCGTCCCTGGAGCTCCTCCCCCGGTTCCCCTTTCAAAAACACAGAAGAAAAAGAGAAAAGCCAGCAAACCCAAAGACGCCGACTCCCCAATAGCAGCTACCGATGCTGCTGCCGCCGCCGTCCTCGAAAAAGCCCCAGAACCCGTCGAGGTTCAGGAGCCCACCCTCGCTCCTGAAACCGTCCCTTCCACCGAAAATCCCAGCACCCCCCTCCCCGAAGAAGAAATTTTACTCAAACCAAGCCCGATTGTTGATCTTGTCCATAAGCGCTTAAAAGCAACCTCGAAGAAAATTGTGTGTTTTTGTAGTCTTCTTCTACTCATGTCTTTGACTCTAAAATGGTTTTCAGCAACGGATAGCTGGGTACGCTACCACGGATTCTGAGAAATTGAACGATGACCAAATACGGAGTATCAAAACTCTGCCTGCCCTTGAAGCAATTCAAAAGGAATTGGGAGAGGTGAAGAAGGCCATCGAGGTAAATAGCGTACGGTTCACCGCAGCTCCATTTTTTAATGATATTTTTTTAGGTTCATGAATCTGAGTTGGTGCACGAATTGGCAGCAAAGCGCGTTGAAACAGAAAAGGCAGAGAAAGCTCGTATTGCGCAAGCCGTTTCTGCAGCTGAGGTTTGTTTTTCGTTCTATAACCCGGAAACATTCTAACACGTATACAAATACAGGCTAAGCTACTGTCAAAAACAGCCGACATCGTCGATCTCCTCCGCGTGCGAGGTGCTGAAGTTCCAAGTTTTATTACTGATGACGTAGAACGTACCGCCATATATGCTGCTACTGATGCCCTCCTTGGTGATGATGTTGAGAGAAAACACGCGGTTCTCAACGGTTTCTTGTTCGACACTGGCAACTTCGATGGCATCTCTTGTGAGTCTCACTAGACCCCGCATCCCAATAAATCACTAATTATACTCACAACAGACTCACGGATAACGGAAATCACACAGGTCGTCCTCAACCCTCCTCGCGCACCAACACCCGACGAGCCAATTGAGGAAGAGCAGGAGGACCCAACACCGGTTGAATCCAATGCCGTAACCGAACCTGAGGTCCCTGTTAGTGAAGTCCTCAACGTCACCACATCAGGTAGCTTCCACTTCATACAAGAAAGCGAACTTGAGGCTCCATCTCTTAAAGAAAGCGTGGAGTGGGTGTCCGTTGAGCCTCAGGAACGCATTCCCGAGGTTGTAGCATCGACGATTGAAACTGAAGCTGTACCGGTAAACGCACTTGTGTCGGAGGATTCCCTCACACCAGCGCCTGTCCAGGTATGTGGCCAATTGCGCAATTTCGTACTTATGAACATCCTTTGCTCATAAATACCACCCTAAAGGCAACCCTGAACTGGGCAGACTCTGACGACTCGGGGCTTCCCCCCATTGCCGACGTCCAGGCAGAGTTCAAGGCATCAGGCTCTGCCACCCCCGCAGAAATTGAGACCCCAGAGGCAGTGGAACCCATTGTGAACGGCACCGACCACGTCGAGGCCCCTCATCGCCAAGAAGACGATGACGGGTTCACCACTCAGGCTCGGGGTGGACGTGGAAGGGGTGGAAGGGGTGGCTCCCGTGGACATGGTGGACACGGTGGACGTGGATTCCGTGGTGGTGAGCGGGGTGGATATCATGGGCACCGTGGTGGTGAGCATGGCGGCTTTAGAGGTGGTGAGCGTGGTGAGCACCATGGTGGGTTCAGAGGTGGCGAGCGTGGCGAGCACCATGGTGGGTTCCGAGGTGGAGATCGTGGTGAGTTCCGTGGTGGAGATCGTGGTGAATTCAGAGGTGGAGATCGTGGTGAGTTCCGAGGTGGTGATCGTGGTGAGTTCCGAGGTGGTGATCGTGGTGAGTTCAGAGGTGGAGATCGCGGTGAAAGTGGTGGATTCAGAGGCGGCGAACGCGGTGGATACAGGCGTGGTGACCGTGGAGGTACTTGTCGTTGCTTCTTGGTTGAGAATGTTGTTTTGACTGATAAATTTTTAGGATACCGTGGCCATGGTGGTGACTGGCGCGGTGACGGTGAACGCGGTCGCGGGAGGGGCCGCGGACGAGGTGGCGAGAGGGGGGGTTAGTATTTCAATCTTTTTCTTTCGCAAGAACGCAGCGCTAATTGCCGGTTTTCCTTCCGCCAGGTCCACATCCTGCCCCCGCTCCCGCCACACCAGCATAATCTTGTTATTAACGCTCCTTAGCCGAAAAGATCACGACTCGAGATCAGATTCAGAGCACTTGTTACTTCCGTATTTATGCATAACTCACCTCACTCCTTTATCCATTTACCCGTGCTGTATTGTTGTTGTGACGTTTTCTGTGTATGTACTACCACACACTTGGTAATACGATACTCTCGCGTTCTACGAACACGCTTTCTTGTTAGTAACGGTAGAGCCATGTTCCCTTTCCCTCCGTCGGTGTTGAATTGGATCATTGAGGTAAGCTCTCTTTCACAATCCCACTTCCCTCAAGCACTCATTTTCACCAGAGCCGTCAGGAATTCCTTGGGAATTCCGAAACTTAGAACGACTGCCATCTCATCCGGCAAATACTCAACTCGCCGAAAAATCTTATCTTTTCACTTCCAACGTCTTCGGTTTCAGAGTCGTGGTGTCCACTGGCCGAAATCCAACTCTAATCCACCATGAACGACATCGATTATTCACTCTACCTTGTGACAGGAAGAGAACTGCTACCTCCAGGCAAGGTGAGTCAGATATCACCTCCACTTGTCTATGCTTGAGCTCAATTCGCGTTTGGAGGACTATTTTGAATCACTAGAAGAAGTAAGGAGCCTGCTTTTCTCTCCACAATGAGATAACGTGGAGCTGATTTGTATCAAGTCCCTTCAAGGAGGTGTTACTGTTGTGCAGATCCGTGAGAAGAACACAGATACTGGCGAGGTGAGGCTAGTGATTCCACTGGTTCGCTCAACGTTACTCCTGGATACATTAGTTCATCAAAATCGCAAGAGCTTCAAAGGTCATATGCGACATTTACAACGTTCCTCTGCTCATCAACGATCGCGTTGACGTAGCGCTTGCGATAAATGCCCATGGTGTTCACCTTGGTCAAGATGACATGCCCATAGCTCTGGCGCGTAAGATGCTCCCGAAGGATGCCGTCATTGGGGTCAGCTGTAATAATGTCGATCATGTCAAGGCGGCCGTGAAGGACGGGGCGGACTACGTGGGGATTGGTGCTGTGTGGGGGACGAAGAGCAAGTCGCTGACAAGCCCTATTATAGGTGTTCGTGGGGTTGGGGTCATGTTAGAGGTCTTGGATGGGACCAACGTAAAAGCTTTGGCAATCGGTGCGTCATGGCCAATGTCTTGTGGAATAAATCTTCAAGTTAATACCTACGCCAGGCGGTATCAAGTCAACAAATCTTCTACGCACCTTACACGGGACCGTGTCATCGACAGGTCATGCTCTAGATGGCATTGCTGTCATCTCGGAAATCGTTTCCTCCACTGAACCGCGTCGAGCGACGGAAACGCTCGCTAACATCCTGAGCGCTTTTCGAGCAGACTTTCCGCACCCCCCTGGTTTGGACACGCGTTTGACATCCGATCTGTATGTGACTGGAGATCTGTCGCCTGAGGCGGTGCTTGAAGGCGTCGTACAACTTTTGGAGACAATCCGGGGTCTGAATCCTCTTGTTCACCAGGTGAGATCGAGCGTCCATCTTCAAACTCGTGCAGGTTTGAATGAATGAGTAGATTACCAACACGGTCGTCGCTACACAATCCGCAAATATTACGTTGGCATTGGGTGCGAGCCCGATTATGGCCACTGAGCCCCGTGAAATGGAAGACTTGGCCAAGATTAGCGGAGCCCTTCTAGTGAATATCGGGACTCTAAGGGGAGAGAGTTTCGACGGGATGAAGAAAGGAGGTATACCCATGATTTCAACATACGTCCATCTTTTCCCTCTGATTCTAGTTTTCCAGGGTTCTTTGCCAACCAGTCCAGGAAGCCCATTGTCTTTGATCCAGTTGGAGTGGGTGCCAGTGCTTTCAGGCAAGAGACTGTCAATGGTATAGTCTCCCTCAGAATGAATTTTTCTGTAGTGAATAGGCTGATGCTGGAACCGAAGAACTCTTGAATACATGGCAGGCAAGCGTCATCAAGGGTAACGCTGGTGAACTGGCCGCTCTGGCCGGAACGAAAGAGGTGGGTTGCTGGGTATTTTTGCCATAACATTGATTGAAATGCCAATCGACAGGTCGATTCCAAAGGAGTAGACAGTGTGGGTTCAGGCTTCAAAGACCCGGTTTCGTTTGTGAAAGCACTTGCAAAACGGGAACGTATGGTCAATAATTTCCAATCTCGAGACATTCTAATATATTCTCATGAAAATAGGATGTGTTGTGGTTTTAACGGGAGCGACAGACTATATCTCTGATGGCCTGTCAGTCGTGTCACTGAAAAATGGGGATGCGATGCTTGGGAAGATCACAGGCTCCGGGTGTGTTTTAGGCAGTTGCATCGCAGCATTTTGTGCCACAGCGGCACATTTGGCTTCGGATGAGGAGAAGAAGGGCGATGGGAAGCTGGCAAAAGGGGATATGTTCCTTGGAGCCATCGCGGGGTAATTTCGATTATTACGGTTCATCACCGCCGGTGCTGATTGACGCGCCTCTTTCCTCTAGCGTGCTTGTCCTCACTGTCGCTGCAGAGTTGGCAGTTCAAAGAGAGGACGTGAAAGGGCCTGGAAGCTTTTTGTCTGGCCTCATTGATACGCTGTGGGCACTTCACTCCGACGACGTGCAGAACTTGGCCAAGGTCTCGATAGAGTGAATGATTTGATTCGTCCTTGGTGGTATGCAAGTCGTGCATCACGCAACATCTCTAGAACTTGCGGCCATAACTTGTACTACGACCCCCTTGCGACTCCCGCACCTGCGGTGCACGTCTATAATCCGCTTTTCCCATTGTAGCGTCGACATCACAGGTTTAAGCGAAGGAATCCCTCCAGACAGTGTCGTACAAAGCTGGCAACAACAGGTGTTCCTTTGTGAAATGTACAAAATGATGAAAGATTTACATGTAAAAAACGTAGAGTATTCAAGTATCAAGACCAGATCCATCCAGGCTTCGTGCTTCAAGAATTGTATATCTACATACCAGCGATTTCTTTTAGAGGCCTCAGGCATTTGACGAGCATCTGGAACAGCGTTTTGGCCGGGTAATTTCATTGTAATTATGTAGTTGTACATAAGTTCTTGAATTTATCTAGAGCTACCTAGGTGTAGTAGTCTTGGGTAGACCTGTAGCTACCTGTAGATTCATACTCGCCATAGAATATCAGGCTTGGCGGATGATCTGTACCTTGAATGATGCGAATGGGGTTATCCAGTGACAAAAACAGGCCGTGGGACACTGATGGCTGACCACGCTTTTTACAATCGAAATTATCGAAGCGTTCTCCAAGTCCTTTTACCTTCTTCTTCTCTCCTTCACAAACACTCAAAGGTCAGCCGTTGATAGGCCTTGCCCCTGATCACCATGCACATTCCCACTGGTAAGCTCCACTATGCATGCAACACCACCTGTATAATGCTAACGTGGACAGCCTATGGACAGCAAGCAGGTCCTTAGTCGTTTGCTCCCACATTCCCTCTGGTGAGCCAACCAACACCTTGTTGCATAAACCTTACTAACGGCACATTAGGTACAGTAGTTTCTATGGACCAACAAAACCACGGCAGTAAGCTTCACCATTTCTTCTGTTTGTTGAGTGTGTGCTAACGTGTTTACACTCAACAGCGTCGCTATCACGGTTTGGTTCAAGTTTCAGTAGGGCATTGGTAGGGCATCACAACTATTTGCGTGATGCTGGGGAATGTCAACGATCACACGGTGCCGGGGTGCCATCTTTTTGACTGCACATCAACGTCATCCCCTGCTCCTTCCAGTGTGCAGTGGCCGACACACTTTGGATGTTTATATGCTTGTAGTCTACATTTACGTTGGCATGTACAGTAGCACTGCTGCAATATATTTTTCTGCATACATTTCGGATATTTTTCGGCATTTTTGGCCTGACACAGGAAAGCTCCTTGATCATGTGATAGATCAGATGTGAATCGCTGTTGAGATTTGGTTGATCGGTAGGCCGCGTAGAGCCTGGTAGACCGGCTAGGAACTGTCTACCGGAACTACCGTAAAAAGGCGAAATTACAGTGCTTTACATAGGAGGAGGCTATCAACGGGCCTACCGATCACTATACGTCTACATAGGTCTATGTAGACAATGTTCTGTTTCCAGATGAGGACCCGTCTCGTCTGACTCGTCATGGGCATCAAACGTTGTCTATACTATGCTATATCAGTACTTCGGCAGACCCTCTCAGTCGGCGGTCACAAATGTCACATTTTTTGGCGGATGAACGTGACAGACCGTGACTGGTCAAAAAACAGAACTTCGCCAATTCTTCGTTTTTTTTTGACGAAAAAAAGCGGAGTTAGATTGGATTATACCCAGGAGGCCCTGTATCAAATTTCGTGGCAAGATGTTTTGTGGAAAGTCTGAGATCAGGAAAGTGCCGACTGAGAGGGTCTGCCGAAGTACTGATAGGGCATAGTATATAACTTGACTTTTATCACTACATACCGCATCCGCGTGTCAAACCATCTGATCACTATGGGAGCGCTCAAGGAGCGCTCCAAACTTGCTCCAAACCTCCAGCATTCGGCCGGCAGAGTGTGCAACCCAGGTGCAACCACTTTGAACATTCGAATGTCCCACAGGCCGCTGGGAACCGCAAACTCTCAATAAGCGCCGAAACCTTGCCTGCTCTTCATGCCATCTTTCCAGGCTATCGTCGAAGATACCGCGCCATTCCTGGTTTATTCTGCTAATTGGAGGGCTGGGACCTCCGCAGACGACTCCTCAGCGGACAAGTAAGTATCTAGTCCTCAGACAAAAGATGATACTTGATGTCGGTTGGACTGCCAGGTACACGCAGAGCAGCTTCACTGTGACCCAGGCCGCAAATGCGACGATGTCTTTCACATTCTTTGGGACCTATGTTGGGATATATGGCGCCAAGCGTGGCAATCACGGTCCCTATCAAGTTCAGGTTGATAACCAACAGTATCCCATCGGAAATGGAGTTGCCACCCCGGATGCCTTTAACCAAACGCTGTTTTCGACTAACCTACAAAATGGATTGCACACAGTCACATTGACCAATAACGCAAACACGTATCTGGACGTGGACTATGTGTGTCCTGCCCCTTGCTCATCATTGCTGCGGAGAATAATTGACATGTTCAGGTTTCGTGGCAAACGAGTGTTGGAAACGATGCTGAAACTCTTATCGTGAACACTTACCAGGACTCACATCCAGCTTTCTCCTACTCCCCCACGTCGTCTTGGGGAACTCCAGATTTTGTATCCTCGTTTTCAGGCAGCACCGGGCAGTGAGTTTGAATGTTTGAATCGTTTTGCGTCTCGCCTTCTTAGCAAGGGAAATGACAGTGCCACAACAACGCCGGGCGCTTTCGCCGAATTTACTTTCGCTGTGAGTTAGGTATCCATTGTCCTGCGTCGAAATACTGAAATCTGCTTAGGGTATGTATTTCTTAGAGGATTCAGCGCTGGAGTTTTATACCAACCATGCGCAGGTGATGCTGTGGGGTTATATGGTCCAGTTGGTCCGAGTGGTGCTGCTGCGTTCTCAGTCCAGGTTGATGGCGGCACACCCATGAATTCCACAACGAATAAGCAGTTTTACAGACCCCAACAACTGCTATATTACGGCAGCAATCTGGGAAGCGGTATACATACGCTAAAGATACAATTTGGGTCGTCAAGCGGGTCTAACCAGGCACTCGCCATTGACTATGCGGAGGTGTACACTACCCCTTCTCTTGGTGGAAGGTAAGAATATCTCGCCTTACCATGTGGGCGTTGTTAAATCAAAACCTATAGCTTTGGAACAACTCTACCAGTTCGTGTAGCTTCGTGAGTCTCTCTTGGTTGATGTAGTGAATCTACTAGCACCTACACTCATTGTTATCTAGGGCTTTCCCCATTGGTGCTACCGTTGGGCTCGCCATAACCAGCACACTTGCTTTTCTTGCGCTTGCTGCCGTCGTCTTCCTCTTTCTACAAAGACACAAAAACCACCTCTTCAGCTCCCTAAGGACAGATCCTGAAACGCCGACCATGAGTGGCCTCAGAGTTGAGCCGTTCTCCTTCCAGCCGACGCCCCAAAATGTTTCCATAGTCAATCAAAATCATCATCACCCCAATCACAATCACAACCCATCCGATTTATCATTCACTTCGTCGTCGGATCCAACAACTACAACAGGTTACCCATCTACTTTTTCTGCTACTAGGCTCTACGATAATTATGTTACATCAACCGCTGTACGATTCTGCTTTGCTTCTGAGTTACCTTGTCCTTACTCCCCTTGTATCTTAGGAAGCCCGCAGACCAGTCACCAAAGACCGTCTTGGGATGGGAACCCCATCAGCACCACTGGGATCGCGAGTGATGGCTTCAGATACCTCTTATACTATACCACAGCCCTCGGGGTCGACCCCCATCTTACCAGCTACCACGGACCCACTAGTTGGCGACACTGTTCCGCCTCCGGAATATCATACATAACCACTGACCTATCGTTGTAATGGTATGTTTTCTAAGATGATCTCAATGCTATGTTCAACAGTAAGTATACCTGACAAAAATGCGGGTATAGCTATGAAACTCAGATTGTAACAATCCTCTTCACCTTTTCCCCCTACTCCTCATTTCAGAGGCTTCACCAACCAGAAGAAGTCCCGTCTTCGATCTAGTCGGAGCGGGTACGTCTGCTTTCGATCAGGACAATCAATGGTTGTCTCTCGAAACGATGCCTCGTCTGGCTAGTAAGCCGATGCCAGAACGGAACAGCTCGGTTTTGACGGAGACGACAAACTCTGTCACTCATTTATGGCTTATGAGATAGAGGTACCTTCCCCTGCCATCTCGTGATTATTTCGTTAATAGCGCCGTTGCTGACTAGTGTGCTTGTACCCGATCTCGCTGCAGAATTTGGCTAGAATCGGGCCGATAAAATTCCAGCTCTTATTTTTGTGTTGATTGGCGGAGTCGCCTTTGTCTGCATTTCTTGAGGTTGCAACTTGCAAGGCCAAGCGCGCTCAACAACACCCGCGTTCCGGGGTTCGGAGGTCCGGCGGTTGGCGCTGAGCTTCTACATCAAATTTGTCCATCAAGCTGGCATATCAAGGTAAAACACTGTAAACAAGAGGTGATCGGGCAGTTGAGCGAAGTCTTTGACGGATTCCGTGACAAACTTATCATTTTTGCACCTGTTATGTAATTAGAACAGAGGTATGGGAATTTTTTTATTGTGACAGTAAGTTTGCTGGTTGTTCAAGGGGGCTGACGCAATAAAAACAATTAATGTGCTTATTGTTTAAATCTGTCCACAACTGTGTTCCCCAGGCGAAGCTTTGGTAAAAATTAAAGTTTTGCCTAGTGCCGAAGAGACAAACTAAATTGTTCCTGAAATCTGTTCTATTTACAAATTTTTATTCTTAACAGCTTTTTGTCCTGTGGATGTACCTTAAGACACATTTTAAAAATATTGGCAACAATTACTTTACATTGGGTGACTTTCCGTAACACAAATTCTCTAGATTTGAATAAATCGACGAAATCTAGGGTCCTTTGCCGGGATGCCGAGTCTTGTAAGGGTTCGACTCTGATGGAGTCCCTGGTTGGAACCCAGTTACAAACCTTAATCTATTCAGAGGGTACAGACCCCTCGAACAGATTTCAAACGCTGGAATCAACCCTGCCAAGGGGACACCTTTCCTTCCTGGGTATGATTCCTTCCCACATGGCTTAGTCAGCTCTACCTCATCCCCTACTACTCTCCTACGGCTGGGGCATTCTGCTCCCTCTTGTTGCAGTTCAAAGCCACTACAGAGTCTATTAGAAGTGTCAATGTCTTATGGCTACAAAATCCCCTCCCGGAAACTGCTGCTCCCTTTACAAACACCCTTCTTGACACCTAACTCACTGATCCACAGCCATGTTCAGCTCAACTTGGGATTTTTTGGGCTTCACCCAGCGTGTGGTCTAATTTTACAGCGGGGTGGATGAACAATCAGTATAATAAACCCATCCACAGGCCTACACGACCTCAGAGCAGCTCAGATGGGAGGGAAGTGAGTTTGTACAAGGCAAGCAAATACATCAAATAGAATCTAATCAGTTGGCGTTACGGTTTATTCACTTCAATAAACTCTCCTGTGAAGTTCTCGTTTCAAACTCCGATAAGGGTCAAATTTATTCATTTTTATAGATTTGAGTTACGGAAAGTCACCCATTTGGGTGTCGCCCTTGCACAATAGACAAACACACTGTCAGAATAAAAAACTTCCCATAGGTTTGTTCTAATTACATAAAAGATGCAAAAATGATTAATTTGTCATGGAATCTGTCAAATACTTCGCTTAACTGCCCGATTACCCCTTGTTTAAGGTGAAATATATCGCACATGTTTGATTATAATCAAGGAGGCAATAGGGCTAAGGGAACCTTACAATACCCGGCCCATACGAGAGGCTAAGCCCCAGGTTTGATAACCGCATGCTTCTCAGTTCTGTAAACTTCTGTACAGCGTTCGTTGATTGGAGAAGGACAGACTCTTAACGAGCTCCAAAAATTGTGTGGTTGTGGTGTTGACGCGTTGTTTGTATTCACGTCAAAATTTAGAACTTGATAAAGAACTACCTTTAATCACTATAGAAGCCAGTCTCCAGATGGCACTCACAAGCATCGGCCGGCTACTGCCGCTGGGCTGAATGTTACAAGGCTTCAGACTGCTTCACGAATCCGCAAACCGTCAGCAAGTGCCAAAGTTTGTGCTACAATGCCTTCTTTCCAGGCTATCATTGAGGATACCTCGCCCTTCCTGATCTACTCTACTAATTGGTCGTCTGGGACTTCTGCCGACTCGTCAGCGGACAAGTAAGTATCTGATTCTCATACAAAGGATAGTGCTTGATGTTTGGTCGGACCGCTAGGTATTCGCAAAGTAGCTTCACTTTGACCCAGAGTGCAAATACGACCATGTCCTTCACATTCTTTGGGACTTCAGTTGGGATATATGGCGCCAAGCGTGGCAACCATGGACCCTATCAAGTCCAGGTAGACAACCAGCAGTTTCCTGCGGGAAATGGAGTTGCCAGCCCGGATGCTTTCAACCAAACGTTGTTTTCGACTAGCCTTCAAAAGGGCGTACACACAGTTACATTGACGAACGGTGCTAACACGTATTTGGACGTGGATTATGTGCGTTTGACCGCTGTTTTACCTTGTTCTTCATCGCTTAGGTGAAAATCATTATTTAGATTTCATGGCAAACGAGTGTCGGAAATGATGATGAAGCGTTGATTGTGAACACTTACAAAGACTCACATCCCTCCTTCTCTTACTCCCCTGCTTCGTCTTGGGGAACCCCAGATTTTGTATCTTCATTTTCAGGCAGCACTGGGCAGTGAGTTCGAATCTTTGCATCATTTTGGGTCTCGCCGTTCTTAGTAGGGAAATGACAGTGCCACAACAAGTCCGGGCGCTTTCGCTGAATTTACCTTCGCTGTAAGTTCGGTGTCACTTATTCGTGAGCAAGTACTGAAATCTGCCTAGGGTATGTATTTTTTAGAGGATTCAGCGTTGAGGGTCCTCACGAGCCATGCGCAGGAGATGCTGTGGGGTTATACGGTCCAGTTGGTCCGAATGGTGTTTCCGTGTTTTCAGCCCAGGTTGACGGTGGCACTCCGACAAATTCCACGACGAATAAGCAGTTTTACAGGCCCCAACAACTCTTATATTATGCAGGCAATCTGGGAAGAGGAGGACATACGCTAAAGATACAATTTGGATCATCGAGTGGGTCCGGACAAGCGCTTGCCATTGACTATGCAGAGGTGTACACTACTCCCTCTCTTGGTGGAAGGTAAGAGTTTTTCTCTTGCCCATTTAGGCTTCTTCAAAGTAGCATTTGTAGCTTTGGAACTACTCAAGCAATTTCTGCATCGTCGTAAGTCTGCTGATCAGCGTTGCGCTGTTAGTGACACCTATACGCATCGTTCTCTAGGACCTTCCCTACTGGTGCTATCGCCGGGCTTTCTATAACCAGTACTCTTGCCTTCCTTGCGCTTGCTGGTCTCGTCTTCCTTTTCATACGAAAACGGCGCAACCACCCCAGCACGATCTCAGAAAAACCGAACCCCGTTCACCCTAGAGTTGAGCCGTTCACCTTCCCACCGACACCCCAAGACGCGCCCATAGCCAGCCAACCTAGTTACAACCCATCCAGTCTATCGTTCTCATCTTCTTCAAACCCAGCAATCGCAACAGGTTACCAATCTACTTTTCCTGCTTCTGGTATGTACGATGATTACGTATCATCGAATGCTGTAAGGATCCCCTTGCCTCGAACTTTCAAGTTTCCTTGCTTATGCCAATCGAATTCCAGGACAACCACGGGTCAGTCAGCAAAGATCGTTTAAGGATGGGGCTTCCGTCAGCACCATTGGGGACAATCAGATCGGGTGCAAGTAACATTATACCGCAGTTGTCGGGGTCGATTGTTACGTCAACAGCAACCAGCGTACTATCGGCTGGCGATACTGTCGCGCCCCCGGAATATCATACCTAATTACTAACTTGTAAAACCTTAATGGTACACTTTCAACAGGAAATCTCTAAGCATTGTTTTCAAGGATCGCAGCCCGAGGCGTCCGAGGAAGTTAAAAGAATGCACAATGGAAAATGCAGGATGGAACCGTCGTGTCTCGAACTAACGCATGTTCACAGGTGACAGCGACAGGTAACCGTCTGGGAGGGCATATGTTGTCTAGCATGCACACCACCTGGCGTAGCAAGTTACACAGGTTTTCCGAATACCAGCAGGTTTGAGTCATCGTTCTTCGCGGATGGTCGCTGCCTTGTAGTCTAACGCGCTTCGAAGTTTCATCGTGGCCTACTCGAAATGACGTCAACATGAAGTATGTACTCACCTACTTCTTGACCATCTCATCATCAATCCGAACAGTGTACTAAGCTTGAGTCTTACCTGCTCATATAACTCTTTCAATATCTCATGGTGGTCGCTTCCTTTTAAATAAATCCCAGATGGCTGACCGGGTTTCTTGAAGAGCAGACAAAAACAAATAACAAAGTCGGGACCATCATGAATTCTGATGCTCGTCTGGCGCTCGCAGGCCGGTTTTGTTTTTCATCTAAGTATAGCAGCGAACATCATTAGCCCTTAAAAAGTGCTAGAACAAAATGCTAGAAGCAAAACAATTCAATCCAGTTTCAACCCTTCTTCAACCCTGCGTTCGTCGCGTCGACTCACGGCCCTTCAACTTGGAGTCGTACACTTTGGATTTCGGTCTCGGGGCAAGGGTAGGCATATCGGTAAAGCCAAAGCTTGAAGGGTTCTCGACGAAATACTCATCGAGGCTCAAAGTGTGCCGGGACTTGTTTCTTGCTCGTTTTGTTTACATGCTATAAATAAAGTTGACGCGTCAGATCAGTAGCACGTGCTAGTGGCGTCGCCGTTAAAGTCACACCACCAGTACTTTCCGCGTACTTGATCAACACTTGACGCAATGGACCGCAAACACTTGGCGTGAAAATGCCTGAACAAGCGAGGGGAAGGCCGTGAACGGAATGGAACTGGTGGTTGCAGAGACTTGTGCGACATGGCCGAGCTCAACCGCGCCGAGCGCTCCTTGAGCGCTACTGTCCACACAACTGTTCCTGGTAATTGAATTTATCATCATCCCCAATCCAGATTACTCAATCCTTTCAGTAATGCCCGTGAACCCTGATTTTCTTTGGGCATGATTTTGCTCAAGTGTATATACTCACCAGGCCTTGAATAGCTCTGAATCCGTCCTCAGCATGGGTTCGACCAGTATCACCGCTCGTAGCCCGCCTACGTAGATAGCTATCATGGAGTCAACCTGAAGCTGTGCTTAACTTGCTATGTTATTTGCAACCATATGATCGCAAGCTTTCTCAGCGCGGGATTGACAGATCCTGGACAGATCTTAAATTTAGCCATGGAACATCCGACTATCCTCCCTGACTTGGCGCGACTTACCTTGTTCCAACAAGACCACCAGCAGACTTCATGCCCAACGTCACGACTACCATCGAGGACTATTCACCGCTCTTGGTCTACTCTGGGTCCGACTGGACGGCTGGAACGTCTGAGAATGACACCTCTCTTGACCAGTACGTCTCTCTCTCGACTTTTCGGGGCTGATTCGAGCGATATCTCATACCCTGATCTAGATACTCGCAAAGCAGCTACATGAGAACGAATGTCGACGGCGCGACTGTTTTCTTTGTGTTCTACGGCGTCAACGTGCAGATCTATGGAGCGTTACGCTCAACCCACGGGTTCTATCAAATTGGCATAGACACGAAGTTGTACCCTCCTGTAAATGGCCAAACCACCCCGGATTCCTTCCAAAAAACACTCTTTGCAACTGTCGCGTTGCAGAATGGGGCTCATACGGTGAAAATGACCAACCAGGGTAAAACATTCACCGACTTGGATTTTGTAAGTTCTGTTATTTCAAACTCTCAAGCAGGTGCCTAACGGGCAATCAGATAACATTCCAATCGACAATAGGATTGGATTCTGAGTCTATGATTGTGAATACTTTCCAGGACTCAGATCCTTCTTTCAGTTATTATCCTTATTCCTCGTGGTCGGCTAATCCTAGCAATCTGGGGACGTTTTCGGGCGGCAATGGACAGTATGTGTATTGATCTACTACTCTTGCTTTTTTTATGACCCCTTGTTCTTCAATTGTAGTGTGTCGTCGAGCGCTGGGTCCTACGTGACGTATACTTTCCAGGTGAGTTATCCCATCTCATTCGCAAGTATTCCGTTAATCTTTTATGTAGGGTAAGAGTCATGTGTACTTATCCTAGTAAGAGGGTTTTACATGGATTCGTAGGTGATGCTGTCTTATTATATGGTCCTGTTGGTCCCAATGGCGCGCCTTACTCTGCTCAAATGGATAATGGTAACCCCTCGAATTATACGACAAGTAGTTCGACCTACAGACCACAGACGTTGCTTTATTACGGCAGCAACTTGGGTGCCGGATCCCATACCTTGAAGATCACTGTACAGCCGTTCAACTCATCCTATCCACTCACTTTGGCAGTTGACTACGCGGAAGTCTTCACAACAGCTTCAATTCAACGGTGCGTTGTCTAGTTCCCGGAAGCAAATACCAGTGTTCTCAGTACCACTCCCTTAGGGCGTCTTCTTCCACATCGACGAGGTATAGACTCTTGTACTCTTCTAAGCGCATCCTCAGATAATCCTACTCCATAGCTCGAAACTATCCAAGGGTGCCATCGCCGGTATCTCAGTTGGCAGCGTCTTCGGACTGTTCTTCATTCTGGCCGTGATTCTTTACTTCGTACGGCGCTGGCGCACAGGCCGACGATCGTCTTCCATCATCGGCCATCACCAAGAAAAAAAGGAAGAGGACATCATCCAGCCATTCAACTACAACCCCCTCCCAGTCGGCGATGCACCTTCTCCTTTGTTATCACAGAGCCATTCTCAGAGCCAACTCGGACATGAGACATTGCGCACACAAGTTTCTTTTGGGTCGCTTCCTACTACGCCTCCAACAACGGGGATATGGCCTGCGACGGCGGGCACCGTTGCCGGTGCAGCGAGCAATACAGACTCGTCTGATGTCACCTCGTCGAGAAACTCCGGGGTAAGCGCTTGATTGCATATTAGGATGGACTTCCTTTGATGAGAATGGTTTCTATTAGACGGGGCAAGAGTTGATCGTTCCCCAGCTGCGGGCTAAATATCGTCCAGACCTTGCGCCCCAGCTCTTGGCGCCTCCTCCTGCACGCACACGAAGGCCGGGAACTGGTGGAGGCGGTGGTGCGGGGCCTTCTATACCCGAACTTCAGATTACCGAGGAGGTTGATGCTGGTCCGGTTCCGGCTGAGGGTGCGGTGTCCGCTGGTGTTGCAGGCGTGGATTCAGGGACAACCGCTCCGCCAGAGTATTCGCAGGATCCGACATCGCCAAATGCTCAATGACATTTTTCATGAGCTTTCCTTCCCGGGGTTCCAGTTTTATTGTACTTGTCTTTTTCACAAGGGCGCCCAGACACACATTCGCATCTTCTCAGTAGTGCCTGTTACTTTAATCATTTTTAGGATCTTTAATTCATTTGTACAATATCGAGTTACATGGCCAAATATTCGGTTGCACTAGATGCGGTTTATTTTTTACATCATTTCGTGGTTCGCAGAAGGTGCTTGAGGGGATCTATTGAGTTATGCATCCAGGAATAGGGTCGAGGTTTTGCCTTGCCTTCCATTCCAACGAAGGGATAGAAGCAAGACAGAAGATCGACGGCTTCGTAGACGTCATTCGACTGGGCCCCTGAGCATCCGCCGGATGCGGGAGCTCCGGCGCGAACTAAGAAAGTAAAGTTGAGCGAATTGTATCGAGGGATGCTAACTTAAACCTGGTTCGGAACAAGGAAGGAATCTCATCAGTTCCAGCTAGCAACTCGTCCAAGGCGGTCGATCAGCTCTTTAAATACTTACAAGGTTGACCATAAGCGATGATGTCAGTGATGAAGGGGCCCGGGAGTCTTCAAACGTTCGTCCAATAAGAGTGCTGCGGCTTGAAACCAGATTCCGGAAGCTATGTGAAATCTCCGCGAGCGTATTGGACAGAAGAACGCCGACTACAATGATAGATCAGAGTTAGTGACTGAAACGAAGGTTGAAACGTTGATGCGTCGAAACACCACCACCGGGATGTAATCGTCCAATCAAAGATGAACGTGTCCAGCCGGGAAGGAGAGTGAGTAGGTAGGGAGTTCCGTGGGGTCGCCATACTTAGCCAGCCAGGCGACACTGTTGGTTCCGATTGTGCGCGCTAAAGTAATCACGGTGCAAGGTGGTGCACTTTTCCTCAATCTATCGATAACGGCGAGCAGGATATATCGGGTAAGCCCTGTTATTTCTGGTATGTCATGAGGACTGAACTGGGCTGAAGGGGATGAGGATTTAATGAGATTGAATGTCCCTGGTGTTGTGCATGGGTGTGTGTGTCGCCATCGACAAGGGAGATTACTCTTGGGATATTACAAGTCGGAAAAGACAAGGGAATCCCACGTGATGTCGGTCAATTAACCTTCCGCCCTTTTTCTTTCACAGCTTCAACTTGCTCACAGCTACCTCACAGCCCGGCCAGACTTTTCTCTTCCTTCCTAGATTCACTAGACTCTCTGGGAGGATCCTACAGCGATATATCCACCCTTCGACAATATACAACAGTCTCTACCGTTCATGCACCGTACAGCTGCTACCATTATTTCATCATGACCACCAGCATAACGCCTACTGACGCTCAGTCGAGCTCGACTGCTCTGGTCGAATCACAACCTACAAAGAAATCTTCTTTTATTTTCCTAACACCGCAGGTGGCATCCTATTTTGTCGGTGAGTTGCTCTGCGTATCTGGCGGGGAAACGGATCGGAATGATGACCGCCTTTCGTCTTTCATAGCTGGAGGATGTGCAGGAGCTGCCTCGCGGACGGTCGTTAGCCCGCTGGAACGGCTGAAGATCATACAGTGCTTTTTTCCTCTTATTTTTCATTCATGGATTATTTCTTATGCATGTTGTTCTTTAGACAAGTACAGCTTACGGGATCCGATTCACAATACAAGGGCGTTTGGAGGAGCCTTGTTAGAATGTGGAGGGAGGAGGGCTTTAAGGGATTCATGAGAGGTAATGGGATCAATTGTTTACGCATCGTGCCTTACAGGTGAGTTTGGGATGTCTGCTGTTCTTCCGGACCGTAAGCCAGGGGCTAACCATACCCACCTTAGCGCCGTGCAATTTACGACCTATGAGCAGCTCAAGAAGGTAAGCGATCATTCATGACAGCTGTCATTGGCTGGGCGAGCTGACGTCGCGCGTCTCGATTCATAGTGGTTTACCCATCATGGATCCAAAGAACTTGATACGCCCAAAAGATTAGCGAGTGGTGCTCTCGCTGGAATAACCTCTGTCTGTGCGTCTCCGATCATTCATCGCCTAGCGGCTGCCTGCTTGATGACTGACAAAATTATGCATGCAGGTTCAACATACCCCTTAGACCTCGTGCGCTCGCGATTGTCAATAGCCACGGCATCGGTGAACCTCAGTGCAGCGCCCAGCAAACCCAAGGCCACCGTGTCGAGCACGATCCCTCTGAAAACGGCTCTATCATCCGCATACCACACGGCGTCGTCTACAGTGGCCAAGACCTCCCCGTATACCAAGGCAGAACTTACAATATGGGGCATGACCCTTAAGATTATGAAGGAGGAAGGGGGCGTGCGGGGGCTGTATCGCGGGTTGGTAACGACGGCGGTTGGGGTTGCTCCTTACGTCGGGATCAACTTTGCTGCATATGAATTCTTGAGGGGGATTGTTACACCCCCTGGGAAGAGCAGCATTGCGCGGAAACTGAGCTGTGGGGCCTTGGCAGGTCAGTTTGTCGTTCCTGAAGATCGTCGAAGAAAGATAGGTGCTAACGAACCCCTTGCAGGATCAATATCGCAGACTCTGACCTATCCATTCGATGTATTGCGTCGAAAGATGCAGGTCAGTGGTATGCAGGGCGGGTCGATCAAGTATAATGGTGCACTTGATGCGTTATGGAGTATACTTAGCAAGGAAGGCGTTTCGGGGTTATACAGAGGCCTGTGGCCGAATTTACGCAAGTGTCCCCTTTTCCCCTAACCCACATACGGACCGAGCTGACAACGTGTGTACAGTCAAGGTGGCGCCTAGTATAGCCACATCATTCTTCACATATGAATTAGTGAGTGAGAGTTGAGACCGAAATGACTAACGTACTGATGATGGTTGTCCTCAGGTGAAGGAGTTTTTGATCCCACCTTGATAGACAGATCGAGAGGTAATCAGCTTGTAGAGACACTTGTAGACGGATAACTTAGTACATTGCGATTATTGCGGAGGTGACAAGCATTCTATTGTTCTGTGTGGTCATTTGAGAGTCGGCCTGAGTTTGAAGCGAAAATGTACGGCAATAGGCGGCAAAGAAAAGTTGGCGTGTGCGTCCATGTCCTCACGCTGTTTCCCACTGCTGCGTCGTCACGACCGATATAATACATGTAAGTCCTTGAAACTCACAACGACGATCTCACCTTGATAAACTCACCATATAGAATAATATCCTAATCCACTATCACCGTTTCGACCGGCCACGATGTCGAGCCGAGCAGGTCCGTATACATACACATTCCATCATCACGCTGCACACCTGACATTCACCTCGTTGCTCCAGCCTCAGCCATGCAGCGTAGAGACGCTCGTCCTGATAATATTTCACCTCAGGATGTCACACAAGCCCCACGTCAAACTCCCCACGGCCATCACTCCTCCTCCACATCCTCATCCGCCGTCGCACTTTCCCGCTCTTCCCACTCTTTACCTTTCTATTTGTCTATGGGAAGCGGCCAGAGCAAGCCTTCCACCCCAGCACCCGTCCCGTCGTCTTCATCAGCAGCTCCCCCACCGTCATCATCATCAGCAGCATCATCAAAAGGTGGAAATAGACTCAAACGCGTTTTCGCTGCTCGTAGAAAAAAGTCTGAAGATGCCTCGACGCTGTTTACGAAGAATGGAAGCCAGCCTGCGTCACCCATCGAGGCTACGTCTTCCTCGTCCTCGTCAACCTCACCTCCCGTAAGCCCATTTTGGCTTGGGTTGCCTTGTTTCTGAAGCAAATTAAGCTAATGTTTCATCCATTGTTGTAGATATTCAGCTCCTTAGGTAAAAAGGCAGCCAAGTCGCCCGTCCAGTCTAATCCGTCGCCGCCACCACCACCGCCTCCGCCAAAGAATGAAAAGTACCCAGCCCCTGTCCAGACCAGCACATCAAACCTCGTTGTGGACAGCGTATTTTCATCAAATCATCGGTCGTCTGTAATACCGATCAGTCCGGGTATATCGTCAGCCGTCAACTTTATGCGCATGGGGGAGGAGGAGAGGGACGCACAGCAGAGGAAAGAACGGGAGGAGGAGGAACATGTTCAGCAACGACGGCGGCCGGAGAAGGAGACACCTTTACCGGCTGTGGGAGATAAGGGCGAGATGAAGGAAGCGTGGAGGAAGAGCGACTCGACGATTGGCCATCATACTATCAGGCCTGGGGCGATGTCTGCCAGTCGGGCTTCACGGCCTGTGTCCATGGCCGAGTCTGTGCAGTCGACACATACGATTGTTCCTGGTAGTAAGCGACTCAGTGCGCTTATCACTGACGCCGACTTTGGCATGCCAGAAGAGGATGGTGACGACCTTGTTTTCGAAGGTGGCGCGTTTGCTCCTCCTGAAACACACTTGTTCGACACCTCAGCCGCTGCTCTACGAGCTAGAGACCGACGCTCGATGTCACTTAATCTTGGGGTTCATAATCCCAGACCTCAGATCGCCACCTCAGCTCCCTCCGCTGCAGAGCTCAAACACCCTTCGCACTCGATATCTGAGGGCGTAATTCCCCCGGTATCTTCTCCTCCAACCCTGGACTACAACAGCTACAATCCCTCGCTCAAGCTTGCTGCCCCAGTTCCTGCGTCTGGCGGTTTCAGGGGGAGCAACATCCGGGGGCAGTTCTCAGCATGGACTACAAGCAACACGCCTATTTCTGCTCCTATACCCATAACGACACGTCAGGAAAGTCATTTGCAAGGACTACCGCAGTCAGCCATCTCGCCCCCCTCAAGCGGTGGTAATTCGTTCAGACAAACGGCGATTAGTATGACGAGCGGCTTTGCGCCTGCTGCTGGACTGGCCAAGAAGGCCATGGAGAAAATGGGCAGGAAATGGGGGATGGGGATGAATTCGAGCTCTTCTGGCTCGGGGCACTCTTCATCTGCGTCACTCTCGAGCTCCAATGCGCCGTCCTCGTATTCCAGCACGTCGCATACAGACTATGGGCTGGCCAGGACGAGTTCAAACCAGAGTACGCCGAGCGTGAATGTCAATATGCATTTGTTGCAGAAAGGGAAGAGGACGCCGAATGCGCCTTCTGGGAGTTATAGTGTGTCGTCGAGTTCGGACTCGGATGCGTTTTTCTCGCATTCTGAGCCGGTGATGGGGAAGTTGGTGAGGGGACCGATGAGGAGTTCTGGTGGGGTTGTGTTTGGACGGAATTTGGAGGTTGTGGTTAGGGAGACTGCGATTGATGTGGGTGGTAGTGGTGATGAGTCGAGCGAGGATTGGGAGGCAAAGTATAGGGAGCTGGAGACGAGGATGTTGCCTGCCCTGGTGGCACGGTGTGCTCAGCATTTATTGATTTGGGGCGTGCAGGAGGAGGGACTATTTCGGTGTGTCTTTTATTTTTATTTCCTTGATGATTGAGATGCTTACTTGTTTTTCAAAAGTGTCAATGGTCGTCCGGCTCATGTGTCGAAGCTGCGTGCAGAGTTTGATACGGGTGTCGACTATGATATGACAGACTGTGATCCTGGGGATATTGACCCCCATGCTGTGGCTTCTGTGTTTAGAGCCTTCCTACGCGAACGTGGGTTTATTTATATGTCCTCGGCAATATTGCGGAAATCTCATTTTTTTTTTTCATAGTTCCAGAACCTATTCTGACGAACCATTTGCTTCCTCACTTTGATGCGGCCATCATTGAGGAGAGCAACAGCAACCTTGTTGACCCGCTGCCAACCAAGAAGTTACCGGCCATTCGAAAGCCCCCTTCTTTATCCACGTTAGCCCTACCCTCCTTCCAAGACATGCGACCCCCTTCCAAGACCCTCCTTAATGCTATCAAATCACTTATCCATCAACTCCCGCCGGAGAACCGAGATCTCATACGAACTGTTGTCGATTTGATTAAAGCCACTGCGGGAAGGAGCAAAGAGACCAAGATGCCATTGAGCAACTTGCTCCTCCTCTTTTGCCCGAGTTTGAGCATGAGCCCGCCGCTTTTGAAGGTGCTTTGTGACGGGGAGGGTATATGGGGGTCGTCTCCGGTTATTGATTTCAGAAGAGAGAGTTTAGTTTTGGATATCAGAGCTTCTGGAAGCACGATGAGTGACGACGACACGGATGAGGATAGTTATTCTGATGCGATGGAGGAGAGAAGCTGGCAGAGTATGGACAGGGACTCGACCTCGGATAACCCGAGTTCTGACTACCATGCTTCGGCGGAGGAGGAAGCGTCGCTTTTGGAGGAAGGAGAACATGCTCAGCAGCATAGGAGGTTCAAGGAGGTTGAGAGACCGGAGGTTCCGACGCTTTATTTGGACGCGCATAGTCGTTGTTCATCATCCTCGCCTTCTTCGGCGATTGATAATGGCTCGATGTCCTCTGGAAAGGATTCTATGAATATCGCAAACTCTCCCTCCCCACCCCCACTTTCGTCTTCTGCTGAATCGGTAGCGACGCCTACTTCTTCTGGGCATCCGTCGTTTTCGCATTTGCCATTGGAGGAGGTTAAAGGTAAAGTGGAGCCTCAACATCGACAGAGGAGTGCCAGTCCTCAGATTGCTGGACCGTCTCCTTTGGCTATCTCGAAAAGACCCCTCATCAGCAGCCCTATACCAGCCTCTGCTTCTACCCCCGTTTCTTTCCCGTATCAATCTTCTGAACGAGACTCTCGAAGACGTTCGATTCCCATACTCTCCCTCCCTAGCTTCACCCCATACGTAACGGAACCGCCGTCCCCAGCAGGGTCGAATTCTCCCCGTCTCAAAGGGAGAAAACCCTCCCTCCGAAAACTATTCAGCAAACGATCAGCAGGATCTCTGGGTCCTGGGAATTCGTTCATCTCTTCCCCGATTTTGCGGGAGGGGTCGCCATATCTCCAACCGAGAGCTGCTAGTGATTCGTCGATATCTACGCCGAGGTCGGCGGTTACCGCATCTCAGGGGAGTTCAACAAGTTCGACGTACCTGTTGCCGGTGTTGGACACACCGATCGAGGCTGGACCATCGTTGAGGTTTGGGTTGGGCATTGAAGAATCCCCGCCTTGTACGGCTGACGGAACGAAGAAGATGACATCGCCTTCGAGCTCGGATGGGAGTTCTAGTCCTAAGATTTCCGAAGATCAGGGTGCGAAAGGACCCGATCATCGGCCTTCATTCCCAATGTCGAGCTCACAGAGTTCGTTGATACTTCCGGGACAAGACCATATTAGGCCCAATCCAACGCGAGCGAGGTTGGTATCTACTGCCAGCTCGAACCATTTAGGGTTTCCTGAGGATGAAGATGAAGGCGTTGAAGATTGGACGCAGAGCGTGCTGTTGGCTGCTGCTGGTGATGGATCATGGAAGATCTCTGCCCCTGGGCAGGCTTGAGGTTTCGTTCCCCTTTTTTTCTTCTTCTTTGGCTTCGTTGATGTGTTGGAGGAAATTTATGTACTGCCCCGTCTTGAATTCGTCTCCCCCTCGCTTCCCAAACCCCTGCTCCACTTTCCTGAGCCAGACATAACGTATGGCTGGACGTGGAAGCTGTCGCTGGCGACAGGTGATGTTATTGGTTTTGAAATTCAACATCCTATCCTATCTATCCTAACACGATACCCCATCCCTACTATCCACTATCCCACTCTCCCTTCCTTCTAGATCTTTACATTTGTTTTGCTTTTTGACACACGACATAATCTATGTATCTCTTTGACGATGACATCTTTTATGGCCATCAATCTTCTCTCGTTCATTTAATCTCTCCCTTATTTTGCTTTTTTTCTTATTCTTGTTTTCTTTTCATTTGGCGGTGTCACTCATCTCAACTTCCATTGCAATCACTGCGGACTCTTGGATTTTTTTTCACTCCCCACACAATCCCCACGAAAATTTTACTAAGTATTTGTTGTTCGCAGCCACATAATTCCCATTTGATCTACAAGATCCACTATATCGTCGCGGTCCGATGAGCAACATTCATTCCCTCCTTGAGGCAGCCTTGAGGATGTAACTTTATTGTGTGACAATGAGCTGTGACGTCATTCATATTTCAAACGCGTATCTTGCGCATATCTGTCTCATCAACTCTCCACTTCAACTTGGACATCGCATTGCGCGTTGTTCTTGACTTTCATGGCAAGTGGTACTGTAAGGAAAGTCCAGGAAAAGCTCTTCAGAAGCGGCAACTCTCCTCCAGTCATCGATGATTCTGGTACTTCCACTCCACGACCGCCCGTCGTTGAACGCGTCGAGCCACCAACGCCTTTGACGATTAATATACCCAAGCACACGCCTTCATCGCCCATCCCACCTCCGAGGAAGCAAGCGGACGCAGAGCCAAAAAATGGCGATGATGCTGACACTCCGAGGCCTTACCGCGAAAGGCTTGCACAAAAGCTTGGTAGGGATTACAAGGGCGCCGAGAGTTATCGCCTTGAACAAGACGATACACGAGAGAAACACTGGAAGCGATGGGGCCCGTATCTCTCCGATAGGCAATGGGTAGGTGCTTTAGATTAATGGCGATTGTTCCCCTCTAAACCCGCTTTTGCTCTCGTACAGGCTACGGTTCGTGAGGACTACTCTGATAACGGTGATGCTTGGAGCCATTTTCCGCACTCTCATGCGCGATCTCGCGCGTATAGATGGGGAGAGGACGGTATCGCGGGCATCTCTGATAATCACCAACGTCTCTGCTTTGGGCTGTCATTGTGGAATGGAGAGGACCCCATTCTCAAAGAACGCCTATATGGGGTGACGGGACACCAAGGAAATCACGGCGAGGACGTGAAGGAGCTGTATTATTACCTCGATTCGACGCCCACCCACTCGTACATGAAGTTTCTGTACAAGTATCCTCAACGACGCTTCCCATATGAGGAGCTGGTGTCTGAAAATCAGCAGAGGAGCCGTGAAGTTTCAGAGTTTGAGATTCTGGATACGGACGCCTTCGAGGATGATCGGTACTGGGACGTTTTTGTTGAGGTTTGTACTTTCTTGAACAAATTCGCGTTGATGCTGACATGCCTTGTAGTATGCGAAAGATGAACAGGAGCCAGACAACGTCTACATCAGAATCACATCTTATAACAGGGGACCTGATCCAGCGACCTTGCACGTAATTCCCCAATTGTGGTTTCCTAATACGTGGTCATGGCCACTAGAAAAACCTCCAATGCCCACCCTAACTGGTTCAGTGAAAGGCGGCGACAATATCAGCTGTATTGCGGTGCGACATCCTTCGTTGGGTAAAACCAATCTGTATTGCTTGCCATCGCCTCCTCCTGTCGGTCCCTCCACAGACTTCGAGGTTGACCCCGAAGTCGATGTGGTTCAACCCGAACTGCTATTCACCGAAAACAACACCAACTTCAGTCGATTGTATGGGGGGTCGAACGAGACCGCCTACGTGAAAGACGCGTTCCACGATCACATCATCCCATCCCATCGACCTCCTGCCTCCGAATCCCAACCCGAGCATTTCTTCTCACCAAAGATCCGTTCGCGCACCGCTTCTTCGTTCGGATCGGAGGAACCTGATGTTCTAGAGGAAGGACCTTGTACTCCGTTTCCGGCCTCATCATCTTTCGTCAATCCAGAGCAGATAGGGACCAAGGCAGCTGCTCACTATGTGTTTCGGGACGTACCAGGGCACGGTGGCTGCGCTGTTGTTCGTCTTAAGCTCACGCCCACGCGATTGGGCAAGGATATCGCTCTCGAGGACGAAGGAGTATTTGATGACGCCGTGGAGGATCGGAGACAAGAAGCTGATGAATTCTATAATGCACTGGTGTTGGGACCCATGAGCGATGATTTGAAGCAAATCATGAGACAGGCACTCGGAGGGATGTTGTGGACGAAGCAGTACTATCGCTTTATCCAGAAGGAATGGATTGAGGGCGATCCAGCCCAGCCACCTCCTCCCCCGAATAGGAAGTTCATTCGAAACAAGGTGGCGTTCTTCTCAATTTCTCTGACGTTGCATTCGACTGACTATATCTAGGAATGGCGCCATATGCACATAGAGGATGTGTTGTCGATGCCTGACAAGTATGTTCGCCTCATCGTTGACTACCACACGTTGACCGTGTTTTGTAATAGGTGGGAGTATCCTTTCTTTGCAGCATGGGATACTGCATTCCACTGCATTCCCCTCGCGGTGGTCGATCCAGCGTTTGCGAAGAAGCAACTAGACCTGCTAACTCGGGAATGGTATATGAAGCCGGATGGGCAGATCCCAGCATATGAGTGGAATTTTAGTGATGTGAACCCTCCTGTGCATGCTTGGTAAGTCACTAGTCACCCTTGACGCCGATCTTATGAACGATACTTGATGGTTTCAACAGGGCGACATTCAGGATCTTCAAGATCGAGCGTAAGCTTCACGGGAGGGAAGATCTCAAGTTCCTCGAGCGTGTTTTCCAGAAATTGTTACTAAACTTCACATGGTAAGCACTTCCAGCGCTTCACACTGTGCGAACTTATGAGAGTTTATAGGTGGGTCAACCGGAAAGATCAGGGAGGCAATAACGTCTTCGAAGGAGGTTTCCTCGGTCTCGATAATATTGGCGCATTCAATCGCTCAGAACCCTTACCCACTGGGGGGACTCTTCGTCAAGCTGATGGAACTGCGTGGATGGCGTTTTATTGTTTGAATATGTGCGTTGTATAATTCGTTCGACGGTTGATGATATTAACTACTTATGACAGGCTGAGCATTGCACTTGAACTTGCTAAGCATAACCCAGTGTATGAGGACATTGCTTCCAAGTTCTTCGAGGTCAGCTACAGCAGTTCTACGGGTCGTTTTTCAATCTCACGGTTTTGTAGCACTTCATCTTCATCGCGGACGCAATGACGTACCACTCAGGCGATTCCGAGGCTAGCCTGTGGAATGAGAAAGACGGCATGTATTATGATGCCATTGAATTCGCCCCAGGGAATTCGATGCAGCTGCCCATTCGCAGCCTCGTTGGGTTGATTCCGCTGTATGGCGTGCTCGTCTTGGAGCCATCTGTGCTCAATAGGTTCCCTGGTTTCAAGAAACGAATGGAGTGGTTCATTGATAATCGCCCTGCGGTATCTGCCCGGAATATGGCTAACATGAAAGGTAGTTTCAAATCTTCGTCTGTATGAAAGATCTCACTGGACACACCTTTGATTAGCTGGAGGCAAAGATCAGAGGAGACTTTTGGCTCTGGCTGATAAGGACAGGCTTGTGAAGATTTTGGAAAAGATGCTCGATGAAAACGAGTTCTTGAGTGAGCACGGAATTCGGTCGTAGGTCCTTTTCGATTTATAACGGAATTTGGGCTTAATTTTCTGTCACGACTTCAAGGCTTTCTAAGCTGCATCAAGAGCACCCGTGGGGTATTGATGTACATGGCCAGCGTTATGAGGTCGGGTATTGGCCTGGGGATTCGAAATCCGGGATGTTTGGTGGGAATTCCAATTGGAGAGGACCGATTTGTGAGCAGGATGCTTTTCCAGCGAAGTGTAGAGAAAGCTAACTTTTCTTTCTCATAGGGCTCGCTACTAACTTTCTCCTCATTGAGAGTTTGCAACGCTTCTATCAGTATTATGGTGATGACCTTCAGGTGAGATTATGTTTCGACCGTAATCACAGTTTCTTGTGCTTACTCTTCACATAGGTCGAGTGCCCGACGGGAAGCGGCGAGTACATGAACCTAGTCGCAGTCGCTGAGGAAATTCAGCACCGAATTATCCACATCTTTGGGCGAGATATGAAAGGAAGGAGAGCGACCAACGGTGGAAGTGCAAAACTTGACTTTGATCCCCATTTCCGTGATTACGTGTGGTTTTATGAAGTGTGTGGTGTCCGCCTAGTACTTTGACAGATCTTGATTTTTTTTTTCTTTCTCTAGTTCTTCCATGCGGACACTGGCAAAGGATTAGGTGCATCGCATCAGACTGGCTGGTCTGGTCTCGTCGCGTACCATATCCTGCAGAGTGGCGCTAGCTGTCGTTTGCCCAAGACACCGCGGAGTTCGTCCCTTTCTTTGATACATGGCATCGTCATCGGCTGACTTCTATTTCTCGTTCAGCACCGAGGAGTGTTCTACACCATTACTTTGATGTCTGTCCATCAATTGTCCAATCCCTTTTTAAATCTGACATCTTTGCAGGAAACTCTTTCGCGGGCTGGGTCTGAATTTGGCGGCGACGACTCAAAGTCGGCCTATAGCGCCTTCGACGTGCATACACTTGGAGATATATCTCCTGACGCGTTGTGAGATTAGATTATCGGGGGGGAAGATGTATACCTTGGAGATTGAAAGAAACTGTAGCGAGAAAATTTGAAAACTGTAGCCGTAGTTACACACTCATAGACTTAGTTAGATCCCAACTTGCCAGACCTCAAATGACAGAATTTTCAGTTTTTGACTCGCACTTGGTTCAAGATCAATTCATTGAGTGTTCCAATTGAATCACTTTGACAGCCTAAATTACGCGTATGCCTATTACTAAACTTGCGATAACATTGTTCCATCAAATCCTCATGTCCTCGAAATGAATCGAGCTGAATCAGCTTTTTCAGCTCCTTCTTCATTCCTCCATCGGTGAATCCAAGCTCTCTCCCGCATTCAAACGTTCAATCAAGTGATCAATCTTGGCTTTATGTATTCGATGATGTTCCTGCCAACCCTTCCAAGGATGATGTGGGTGCTAAATGGCAAGTATTCAGCGAAACATCCAAAATATCAATAGAAAAAACGATGTACCAAACGTCCAAACGCCTGGAACAGCTTATCCAGCGTTCCCTCAGGCTTGTTAAAAAAGAACTTTGCAAGAAGGATGTCGTCTTCGCGGCTGTATCGCATCTTTTTATCTGGAGGTGCAGGTAAAGGCTCGTCTGTGGGTGTGCGATTCAGTTCATGTTTGTGACGACGCCAAAATTTCATCCATGATGCGCGGGAGTGATGTGGTGCCTGGGACGGTCGTCAGGACGGTGAAAAGAAAAGAGCAGAAGGAGAGAATAAACCTTAGTCGCAACGTCCTTCCAGAATGCCACCATATCCAGTCTACCTTGGGAACTGGATACCAAACTTTTAGTTGGGTTTCCAGAAGAAGAAAAAAAGGTTGACTCACGAGCGGTAATCCATATATTTAATTAAGAAAGTAACATCCTCCTGCGTGAATGCGACTCCTTTGCCCGTAGTACTACGGAACAACGCCCTGGGCGGCGTCGGCGACCGTCGCCTTGGAGGAACCTGATTGTCCACAGATGGCGGTTGTATTTGCGGCAAAGCAATATTATAAGGACGTGCAGCGACCACCCCAGCTGCGTTTATTGGTTGACCGGGAATAGCGTTCATGCGGGGGTGTGAGGATGCAGCACCGTCGCCTTGTATTTCGATCTCCATCTCCTCTTCGAGATGTCGTACCAGGTCTTCATCGATGCCGGGAGATTCGGAACGTTCGTTGTTCATTGTGTATCCGCCGAGCCGAATCTGGTGTTTGTTGCAGTATCGCCTCCATGAATAAAATCTTTTCAAGGTCCGTCAGCCTCGACGCAAGATAAAAGCTGGGAAAGATATACGTGTGATGAGGAGCTTTGACTGCTATTCTCTCGCAAATCTCGCGTAGACTGCGGACAAAAACTGTAAGATAAGCATGAGATATTTACAAATCAACCAACCTCAAAACTAAACCCTGGTCTTGGCAATAGTCAATGTATTTTTTGAGGTATATGATATCGTCAGCAGTAAACAAATTGCCGCCATATGTGCTCTTAATGACACGAGTAGGAGGCGTGGGAGAGCGAGCAGGAGGATGACGATTAACAACCAGAGATGCAGCTGGAACAGCGGGAACAGCCTGTTGAAGCGTCAAATGATAGCTGAAGATATGATAAATCTACACAAACCGGAGCTCTTGTGCGCTTCCTGCCTCGTTTATCAGGTTGGTCAACGATACCAGTCGAGGGTCCAGCAACAGCATCGGAGGACGAAGCAGAGGCAGGTGCAAGGGAAGTAGAGGCCGTTGGATGTTGGTCACCACTGGGAGGGCTCGGAACGTCCATGTAGCCAGAGTTTTGAGGAAATGCGGAATCGTACTGTCAACCAAGGAGTTATAAATACCATCAAAGGGGCAAGTGCCAGCATTCTCACCGAATGTTCAAAATAAGCATTTTGAGGTTGGACCCAACCCGTATGCTCCTCTCGATAACGGAATTCGTGAGTGTAACTGGGGTGCTGCACAGACATCCCATCTTGAGGATGCGGATAGCCATCCCAGTGACGATATTGTAGGGGTTGTGGTTGCGGCTGGTGCGACGGCTGGGACGGTCGATATGACGTTGGTTGTGGAATAGCAGGTGGGTTTATATGTGTCTGTGATGGCGCTATTCCTGCTGATGCGTTCCATGTTTGAGGTGGAGCGTTGGACATGCCTCTTGGAGCCTCGTGCATCGGAGGATATACCGGGTAAGGGAACGAGCCCATCTGCTCGACGGTCGGAATCACGGGGATTGACTGTGTGTGCATCGGTTGTATCTGTTGCTCAGGCATGGGCGCTACATCATGGTTTCGCGTTGGTTGAAGTTGGTAGACTCTATAAGCAGAACATTTGAATGTGTCTGATGCCGTAGGGACTGGACGCTCACTGCTCTTTACCTGTAACTTTACACCCGGCCCAGTTGGTCTGAAAGGTATGTAGTTGATTCGCCTTGATGCATTCATGAATCCATCTCGCATCGAGAACTAATTTCGCCTTCTTGAGAGCATACTGTTGGTATAGATTCTGGCCCGAGGACTTATGTGGGTCGACTAGGTCAAAATGAGTCAACATAGTTACAAGTTTGCTGGTTGATACATGACTCACCAAGAATATATGTTACACCACTATATCCAGTGACGACTGTCCCTCCATGGGCCTAGAAAGATAAAAGTAAATCAATGGTGCCCGGCCACTTCGTTGCGATGACAGCGAGGAGAACATTTGTACTCGATTCGAAGCACTCCAGGTGCTCAGAAGTTTGAACAACGACACGGATATGCGAGAATGCGACGCGACGCAATTGATACATACCGTAACGAGGTTAACCAGGGTGGCCTTGTCTTCTACGTCCTTTTCAATGTACACAGCCAAGGGTGTTCCAAGCATAGGATCGATAAAGAGCTCCTTGTTGACATTAGGATTATTGAAGGACTGGTCTGGAGGAAGTTGTATTTCATCGTGCGCACCGTGACCGCGGCGCGTGGAAGAACGAGCTGGTGCCATGGGTCTTGCCAACGACACGATTATCTGTGGCAAGGTGGTAGGAGTCCTACTTGCTATTTTTCAATCGGAGCTTCAATCCCAACATTTTTTACTTCCCCTGATGCTAAAAAAATTGTAATGTTCCCCATATCTATTACGCTTTATGACCCGGTTTGAGAAGCCAGGGTTCGAGAGGCCGATGACTGAGATTCTGTTGTTGTACTCCAAAGTCACAGTCACGGTGGTCGATGGGGAAAACATATCTTCAAATTCTGTCCCACGACTGTCCATTTCTCAGCCAGGTGCGCAATAATCAGTTCCAAATTCCAAGTCATGCACTGTGTATCTATTCTCCTTATTCACGGATGTGAATGGTCCACTTTTTGTCAGCGAGACTTGGTTGACTGTACTCAGATAGTGAAGGTGCATCTCAACCCACAGTGGTCACTCCAAGGGCTATTAATAGACTCTCCCTTCGGAATGGGCAATTCAATAACGCCAGGACGCAAGACTTCCATTTTGCAAGCCTCCAGCCCCACCATCGCAACTTTGTCTAACCTTCTCGGTCCGCGCCCATCCCGCCGTCCAACGCCAACACCCCATGTAGCTGCATCAAGGTTCCCCCACCCATGCAATGCGAGCCACGCATCCACCAATCCGTTCTTTTCGAGGAGCTCCTGATCCTCAGCGGTGACGGCGTTAAAGTCGCCTGCAATAATCCCGCCACTGCATCCCGGTTCGTGGAGTACGTCAGCCAACATCTCCAGCTGCTGTGCACGGTAAGGTAGCGTGTCCCACAACGAGTCGAGGTGCACATTAATCAGACGCAAGACTCTGTCCGTCGCAGTTGGTAGGACGATCTCCACACAAAGCCCATCCCTCCCGTACTTGCTTGGAAGGATCACGCGAAAGACACGCCCTAGCTCGAGCTTTTCCCCTCCCTCAGTTTCACCTTCCTCCTGTGAATCCAGGCTGGAAGCAAAACGCGCGCTGGACAGCAAGGTCATAGTCGCAAAAGGCACACCCGCAAACGCTGTTTGGTCCTCAGCATCTGTTGTCAAGAAGGCAGAACGCACTCTCGGATCATTGAGGATAGAGGCACGAACGTCGAGATTAACTTCCTGGAGGAATATGATATCAGAAGATCTCTGTCCTTCAAGGATATGGCTGAGGATATGTCTGGCGCGTGCCACGGGCCGCGAAGAAAGGGCGTCGACGTTCCATGATGTAATTGTGAGCGGTTTAGGAACCTGCCTGACTTGTCTCTGTGTGTTCTTCAGCGGCAACGGAGCCCACCTTCGGATGGAGGAGTTAAATGCGGAAAGCGTACGCCAGACCCTGTTAGTGGTCATGGTTTGAAAGTGCTAAAGGGGCGGTCAGAATGAGCTAGCTCAACGCATTTTATCGGGATGAAGCCGGTTCTATGGGATTTGGCCATGGCTTCAATAACCCCTGTGTGAATTTAGCTGCAGACTAAGAAGCATTGAAGGTCGCTCAAAACATTGCTACTGCAATTCTATAATTGCAGGTTTGAAGATAGGAGAAAACTGGACTAAACTGGGGGACAATGGGCAATAATAAAATGCAAGTAAGGTGGATCACGAAAGAAGGCATTACGAGGCTTGATGTGAAGCATACTTCCACATTTTTCCCTCGAACATGTCGGGAAGTACCTTTTGCTCATTCCATCATACACATATATCACGTACGCACGTACGCACAGGTAAATAGAAAATACGGTGAGGCAACGCAACACGAAAAGCAACTTTTTATTACTTACGTCTTGCGTTCAAGCTCGGTGTGTATTCATCAAATATTCGTCTTTTTGTCATTCTGTGTGGACGTCGGCTTCCGTATGTTATCCCCCTCGCCTTCCGAGGATTGAATGAGATAACGCCCGGCGCCCCATGTGTATACCGTTCCAATACCCTTGGATGTTGTGTGTGGTGGGTTCTTCTTTCTCCTTCGTGGCGGGTAATTGCAGGTGATTGCATGTCATTCCATCTTTGTAGGGGTTAAGACCTGTTATTCAGCAAAGGGGATCCATTGGAATCATCCTCAGCTTTCTTCGCTTGTCCGAGCTTCCCTTATACGATCTCCCACTACCATTGCTCGACGCAGACGAGCTATTTTTATCGATCTCCAAGCAGCTGCACCCTGGCATTCATAGCCAATCTGCGCATGTGGGACCAGGCTCGATCCTACTCGATCACACAACCTCAATGAGATTGCAAACTTCTCGATCATGATCATGCTCGTAGCAGGGGAAGGTTGATAAGAGGACGACGGATCTATCAAGGTAAGTGAGGATGTCGAGGATGTTGGATCTTGTGTGATTCAAAGATAAGTACGTCGTGGGTACGATGCACTCAGGGATGATAGGGTGTTGAATCGTTTGCGACCCATACATAACTGGGAAAATCATTTCTCCGTTCAGCTGTAATGATGAAACAGGACAGCGTATGTAGATGCCACCGAGCCAACCGAAACGAACTTCACTTCATCTGACAGGGGTCCTCCAGGTTGTCCGTGATTGTAGGTGATTGTCTGTAACGTCCTCCATTGTCCTGCATCGATTGAAGCGCCGAAGGCTGTACAACGCGAGAGCTGCACATAAGCATCTCCCGGTGGCTATGTCTACATCCCCTCGTCTGACCGGAGCCTGTCGTGTTGATCCGAATGTTTACCAGGCGAGGAAATGTCGGAAAGGACCTAAAAATTAGAGAAGGCGACAGTGGTAAGATGCCGGGAAGGAACTTCGAAGAATGATGAAGGACGGTACCGGTGTGTTTTAGAAAATGCAATAGCTGCTTTCACAGTTGGACTGCGGAGTCGTTGTTTGGGGGTAACCCACAGCGGAGGTTGAGTGTTGGAGCGGGGATTTATAGGTGATATGTGTAAGCAATCCTAACGTTACGACGCGTTCTACTTGCTGCTATTGGGGGTATTTGTCACGGTTATGAGGAGCTTGTGATCCGCCACAACGGAGGAGCGCTTCGAAGCGACTCGGAATATGCATGCAATTGTAGGAAGGAGGTATTCCGTTACTTCCTACGTATGTCCGATTAGTAGAGATTAATGAGTGAACACCGGGGACAAAAATAAATACCTATCATTTTTGCTTCTTCGTTTAACAAGAAAGAAAAGGATACATTCGCTCAACTTGGGCGTCGTTTATTTTCCAATCCAATCGATAAGAGAACAATGGCATTGGAATTATTGAGCGCATTTCGGGGTTGGTGAGATGACTCGGTGTATTTTTTTGGATCCGAAATACAAAGGTATCCAAAACCCAGAGTGTCGAAGGACGTCATCTCTCTCAAAGCTTACGTTCCTGGAAGTGATAGTTCGGCGTTTGAGGGTTTCAGATATTTTTCGGGGATGGAGGGCCGGACTTGCGTTAATGTCGGTCATGGTTAGACAACTCGAGGGTAGGTGTAAAGGGTAAATCGGCGAGTCGTGCCAGCAAGGCGCCTCGCGCCAAGGTTGAAAGAGGTTAGTGACCTAGAACATTGACATTTCGCCATCAAAGAGCATCATTGCTTGTCCTTCTAGAAGAGGGGAAACCGAAAGATGCATCTTTTGATTTGACTGAATTTACAGGAACATTGTAAAACTTGAGAACTATTCACCGGATGGTGAGAGGCGGTGGGCATGAGCGGAGAAAAAAACGCCGAAGCAGATTGAGAGAAGAAGAGGTGACGGTAAACGAGAGTGCGACCGAAGACGCGTGGCACCATCAAAGAAACGTGTGACAGGATGATCACGATGGGTGACGCAAATGTCAGTCAATTATTCGACAGTCGCTTTGCTCAAGTGCTCAGAGGTTCGTGTTTGAGCATCGAACTGCCTTCAAGGATTGCTGTCTGGTTGAAGCATTTGTTGGGAAACAATACCGATCTATTGTCAGAGGAGTGGCTGTTTTGATTTGCATTGCGGAGTGTGAAAGTGACCTAAAGTGGAAAGCCTCAAGGCGATCTGAGATTGAAAGTTACTAGGGTGTTACCTTTCTATAATCGTTGTACCGTGTGTATCTTGTATCCAGCCTGTTCTGAGCCTGTCCAAGTTGCCTTCTCCTCCTCCCTCCGCCTCGTTCCCTCCCGCCCTCTCCGCACCATGGCCACCGTCGCTGGCCGCAAAAAGTCCGTCATTTCCACCGCTGGCCTCACCATCGATACCCCTGTTGCCACCAACGGGCTCCTCAATAAGGCCGCGTCCCAGTCAACGTCCTTGTATCAACAATGTTCTGCCCTGCGCTCACGCCTCATGCTCATCCGCGGTTTCCCCCACTACTTCAACCTCGCCACGCCCCCAGACTCGCGCCAATCAACTGACCCAGTCACACAGCTTTGGGATCTCTTTGCCCTTGGAGTCCCCCTGTGCTACATTTTCGACCTATTACCCGCCGAAGCGGGTTTCAACAAAATCAATAACTCCTCCTTCACAGCAGATTACGATGCAAACCCTGACCGAGCTCAGAAACGCGCCATCGCCCTTTTCGCTATGCAGATTCGCACAGACGAGGTTACTCAGAAGATTCCTGGTTGCGAACTTTTCACAGTAACGGACCTATGGGACCGCAAGCTAACGGATGGTTTGGTCAAGGTGATTCGATAACTTCCCGCTGTGTTTGACCAGCCTTAGTCTTACGCCTCAATGCCACAGGTTATCAATACGGTCACAGCGATCGTGGATCATCTCCAGCCAGATGTCTTTGAAGAATCGCCCCCGTCACCACCCACCCTGTCTTCACACGACTCTTCGGACTCGCTGCTCGACGCCTTGCCACAACCTAATGGCAAAGAGGCGGCACGAAACAATATTGTCCGAGAGATGGTGGAAACGGAACGCAAGTTTGTTCAGGATCTAGAAATTATGCAGGTCCGTGTCTTCGTGCCACTTATGTCATTGGCTCTTCCCATTCAACCCGCCGGTTACGTACAGAAATACTCTAATGCGCTGTCACAAGCCAACCTGATGGATCAGGACACCATACACCTCCTCTTTCCAAATCTCAACAAACTTCTCAACTTTCAACGCAAATTCCTAATTCGTTTCGAGAGTACAGCTGAATTGCCCTGGCAAGATCAGCGGTGGGGCCAACATTTCCTAGAAAGCGTGAGTCACTTACAATGGTCACACTTTTAAATCTTGATTGGCTATTCTAGGAAGACGAATTTGTTGTATATGAGCCATATTGCGCCAACTATACCAACGCGACCGAGCTGATGCTCGCGAACGAAGAGAGTCTCGTGGTAAGTTTAACTTCAACCCTCTTCTTATCACAAGGTGTACCTTCTTCCTATATCGTCGTCCCTTCCCGCCACCCGACAACATTTCTCATATCACCCTGACAACTGTCATGTTGCCCTATTTTGGTTCTTTTTCGGATGCTTTCATATGCTCACCAAACATCTATCAACAGCCGCTAAACCACCTAATCAACGTCAAAGGCGAGCTACCTGCCTTCCTAATCAAACCGATTCAACGAGTGTGCAAGTATCCACTCCTCCTTGATGTGTGTACCACCTTCTCGCATTGCCTTCGATTGTTGACCATTCTATTAGTCTCTTATCAAGGCATCATCGCCCACGACATATCAACATTTTGATGAACTCAAGAGAGGGTCTGATGCAGCTAAACGCATCACAGATAAGATCAATGAGGCACAACGCCGCGCTGAAAACGAACAAACCGTGAAGAGTTTGCACTATCGCATCGACGACTGGAAAGGTCACCATCTCGAAAACTTTGGCGAGCTCCTGTTGGATGACATTTTTGTCGTGACCAAGTCCGATATTGATCGGGAATACCACGTGTTTCTGTTCGAGAAGATCATTCTCTGCTGCAAGGAGGCTCCTCTTTTGCCTCAGAATGGGAGAAATAAGGTCGGCAAGAACAACTCTATTCTGAAGAAGCAGGGTACACCTCCGCCTCTGACCTTGCCTGGTGGCGTTGGACAACCACAAAAGAAAACCACACCCCTCTTGTTGAAGGGGCGAATCTTCCTTGGTAATGTTACTCAAGCCGTCCCAGTATCAGCCCGGATATCAACACGTGAGTTATGTTTTCGATTACGCGTATTCATTTGGTCTCAAACTGTTCTGCAGCTTCTGGTGTACCGCCACATTTCCCCCTTGCTGTATGGTGGAAAGGTGACGACGACCTCGAATTCTTCACACTGCGTTGCAGGCGAGAGGAGCAGATGCGGCAATGGGAAGCCCAAATTAACCGCCTTATCAAAGAAGCTGCACAAAGGAAAGCCTCGGATCGCCCTACTATGTCGGGTATCGCTCGGATTGCTATGACCAACAGCATCAACCCATCGTCTGCCTCTCGCTTTGGAAACTCGTCGACGTACTCCAATGGTGCCCCAGTGTCTATACACCACCAGCCCTCTATCAGTTCCTCTATTCGCAGCAATCGTCCAGTTAACAGCTACAACCACGACGACGCAAGTAGCAACGCAGGCAGCATGTATAGCGCTGGACCGCAAGGCTACCCACCACATGACGGTTTCGATTTCGAGCCAGAGGACGAGGAGGACTACGAGGACTATCCTCCAGTTTCAGCGGCGAATTATCCCGCTTCAGGACGGGGTACACCTATGGGAGGCCCTCCAGGAGCCCGTCGAAACCCCAATGCACTTAGCATGCCACTAGAAAGAGAGCCTGTTGCCGGTTATGACCGGCCACGAGCGCAAACGGAAAGTACGGATGGTTTGACGATGGCTCAGTGGAGGAATGGCCTGCCACAACCCCCGTCTAACCAACCTTCGCCTGCGGGCGCGCTAAGGCCCATCACTCCTCGGATGAACTCAAACGTGAGTGCTAATAGCTACACATCCGACGCGAGTTTCGGCAACAGCTCTGTCCCGCTTCCGCTTAAATCTTCCTCCCGTCCGGTGTTACGCAGTCAAGCAAGCTCAAACCGTTTGAAGAACGGATACGATGCGTCATACAACTCTGGAATCCCTACTCCTGCTGTGAATTCCTCTGACTACCGCACTGTACGCGCCCCAACGCCAACGGGTGGGCTCACGGCGCCTCTTATGAATCGATCGCGGAGTGCAAGTCAGCCAACTGCATATGTGCCGAAGACGGCCGTGCCACCACCGATGCCATCCTATAATTCCCATTGGAGCACCCACGATCGTTCAAACCATTTGAACAATAATAAGAGAGGCAGCGGGTCAAGTCAGTCTACAGGTGACAGTTCGGAATACTCGCCGAACAGTTCGTCGCCTGTTACGCCATTCGGATCCAGCGAGTCTTCTTTGGGTGGTGTCGCTATCCGCAACTCACGAACACAGCCATACGAGAGCGCGCCCGCCCTTAATGGCCATCATAACGTCAAAGTGAAGGTCCATTTCCACGAAGATATCTTTGTGATCCAGGTATCGCGGGCAACAGAATATGAAGATCTTGTGGAGAAGGTGGGCAGAAAGATCCGGTTATGCGGCCCAAGGAGGGACGACGGACCCTTGCGGGTGAAATATAAAGATGAGGACGGAGATATGGTCTCATTAGGGTCGACAGAGGACGTCCAGATGGCCTTTGAACAGGGAGGTCAGGTCACTCTCTTCGTGACGTGATCTGGATTTCTCCTTTCGCTGCTGGTCTTGGTCTGGCAATTATGTGTCCCCCTCTCATTTCTCCGTCTCTGTTTCCTGGAAGCATCATCATTCATTCATCTGCATTATCCATCACCATCCACCAAAATTTACCGGGCGTCATCATTGCACACCGTACCACTATCATTCTTGTCTTTCATCCCCCTGGGTATCATGGAGTCCATCACCGCCACATTCCTTTTCGACCCTTGTATTACACTCTCTTTGCAAGCCCTCCACTCCTGCCTCGACTCGACTCCTTATCTCCTATATTCTGACACACCCATATAGTTATAGTCGGTCCTTTGATTTTCGAAGAGGCTTAATGGCACAGATGCGTCGCTCGTTACAGTTATCTTCGTCTTCTCTCTCTTTCTCCCTCTCTGTCTGTCTGTCTGTCTCCGTACCCACCCTCCTTGTGGTTCTCGCTTACTTATCTAACTGTTATTTTGTTCTTCCATGGATTTTCTTTTCGCCTTGACAACTGTTATACACAGGTTTATGTAATATCATAGAGGAATGCTATTAGGATTCAACCAAGATTCAACGTTAACATCAAGTTAAAGTACCCATCCCCGTCGACGTTGCAATAACGTGGTGATATTTTGCAAAAAAAATTGTATGTAATGTGCGTTGTAAGGAACGTTGATGAAAAGAGTGCAAGAAGAAATGAAGGTAAGTACTGAAGAAAAGGAAAGCAGAGGGCATCAAATGTCCATTCGGATTCATATCCGTGATGAGTGGCTCTTTGTCCTGAATCCGGTGGTAGCGACCATTGGCATTTTTGACGTTAAGGAGATAGTCAGCCTGCCATCAAGGGCTCTAGAGCCCCAGTATGTTCGCGTTGCTGGGAGGACCTAATATGAAAGTGAATTGGTGGCCCCTCTTCAATCAACAATGTACTGACTTGTGACGCCGCCTTTGACAGACAGGTAGTGCCAGTCCCATGTACCTAATACAGCGTCAGACCATCACATATGAAATGTTCAGAAAAAAATGGCTGTCATACCTGTGCAAGAACCGTATCCACAATTTACCGCAACCTGCTTTGCCCCGCTGTTCACGGCGATGTTGGAAGTGGGGCTACCAAAGTTGACGTTCTAACCCTTTGTCAACTCCAGTCAAAGAAGGCAGTTTCATATAATACCGAAATAATAGTGCCCATTCCAGGAGTACCAAGGGTGCTGGGATAACTCTATTATTGGGCGTATTAGTGAGGAATTATTAGTGAGGAATTCAGAGAGGTACCTGGTCGATGATCACGCCAAATCTTCGGATTCCTTTCGCAGTGTTTCCCTTGTAATAAATTCGTCAGCCACGAGTTTAAGATGCACGGTTAGTGCTAGTTACAGAGTATGTGACGTTGCCAACGACACTCCCAGTTGCTGAAGCAATAGTTTTAATACGAAGAGCCTGGTCACTGCATTTGATTGAGTCTGACAAACCAACTTCAAAGAGGTGACCGAATTCGCACCTGTCGGTGATGATGTTGCCCGTGACGATGACGCCAGAAACAGCGACATTGGAGCCAATAGAGCCCTATAATGCAGATCAAGTTTCCAGTACGAGAAGGGGTGGGGAGGGACAAACAATTGAGATACCATGACCACCAATGCAGGTGTTGCGATCGAAGATGATGTTTGTCCCTTTGCCGATTGCAAGGCAATCGTCCTAACGCAGTCATTAGTCATAAACAACCTGATTGTGTGGATTGGTGTGCCCACTTGATTATGAACCGTACTAGGAAATAGTAAGCGAAAGTACCCATCATTTCATTGAGTCTTCATACCAGTTCTGAATCGTTACGTCATGGCCGCTCACGTCGAATCCATCGGTGTTGTGGCCTGAATGGATGGATGGATTGTCCATCTCTGTTTACGAAGTTGAACGAGCCTACCAGCGGTAATGCCATTGCTCCTGTTATTGGCGTAGTCTCCTTGAGCTATAAACGATTGAATGGATAGTCGTGGAATAAATTATATGCCTCCTACAGTCATCAACTGTCAATCCTGTCATCAACAAGGGTGCGGGATTTGACACAGCGAAAGCCCGAGCGGGCGAGTTGACCACTGTTACATTCTAAAGTATGTGTTAGCAGTCATTCAGAAGTTTGGATGTATGCCAAAGAGGCAAGAAAACTGACCTGAAAAATTCCTGACATTTCGATCCTGCCAGAAGACAGTGAGAACTCGTCGGAAAGATAAGCAACACAGAGCAAACTTCATCATAGGATCTGGCTTTTGTGTGCCGGAACTGAGACCCGTACCATCCTAAACGAAGTCGTTTAGCGTTCAAAGGTATTTTACTTCCGTAATCGATTTTACCCAATAGAAGGGACCTCCACCATTGAAATTATGGCCGTTCCCGTTGACTATTGCAGAATTCAACTTTAACTTGTCCAAGGCGTATGGAAATACGCACATGTGATAGAAGTTCCACTAAAGAAATGTTACTCAATCAAGGTGGGCTTGCATTGGAGAAATTCGCCTACATTATGGTGAAAAGGGGGCCTGCCCAGCTTTTGTTGCCAAATGAAATATCACCAGCTATAATAAGGGTGAAATAAGCTGATGAATCGTAGTAGAATGTATTTGAGCTACCCATCGTAACCGTCGTTCCTGGCAAAAGATTCAGAATTAAACCCTGGCCAGCAGGAACAGTGAAGCCCCGAAGTGTAATTGTGGTGCACTTGACAGCTAAATCCACGTCTTTTCGTTTTCTATATTCAGATGGGTTGGAGGAGATCGTAACGCAGCACTTCACCAGACAAAGACGATATGGACCCCTGGCATGCTAGCACTACACCAGCGAAGAGCAACACGGAGAAAACAGAGAGCATGTTGAATGTCGCCAAAGTTTCCCTCGAGCATTTATATCTCCTCAAGTTGAGTTAATTGGCCGCTCGGAGGAAGAGATTAGTGGAGGGATCTCGCCAGATCCAAGAATCGCAGAGAATTCGGATAAATGACTTCCGGACATCAAAACTCTGTCGTCATGAGCACTTCAAGCATAGAATTCAAACCAATAACACAAGTTGGGTTGCTACAGTAGCGCCTTGTAAATGGCGCTAAGCAGTAGGCGTTCCTCCATTCAGGTCTTCTCTTTGCGACCATTGCATCCACCCCATTTAGCTTTTGTGTTACCGCGAGATTGTTGCGTCGCTTTTAATCTAGAGCTTAAATCTGCGATTGCGAGAACCGCCTCTTCGACCTCTCATAAACGTGACCCAGATCGACCGTGAGGTTCCTGGAGTCCCTCGACCCTAGTAGCTACGCAGGAAGGATAACGGCTGTGGAGACTGAGAGGGTTCAAAGTTCTGGCATTGCGAACTTCTGAAGCCTTCTCCCATCGTGGCAGCCTCAAAGCGTTGAGATCAAGTCAAATAGAGAAGACCAGCATAAAGCCAAGAGAATTGCAATTGAGTCGTCGAATTTCTTTCTTGATCAAATTGAAACCAGTCCCCTTATGCACCATGACAGCAGTGGAATTTTTTTTCTCCATTAGACAGAGACAGGGTGCAGTGCGAGTTATCCGCTGTCCAAGATCAAGGGCTGCTTGAAGATAGTATTGTTTTTCGCCGTTTCAGGTTTCAATAAGTACTCAGCCTTCTGGATTTTCGCTCCATGGAGAGGGATTCAACTTGAAAGACTCAGAGACAGATCCAGATGTGTTTGCTAATATTTGACCATGTGTGGCACGGACATTGCCACAACAATGCCTGAGCAAGCCCTGAACCAAAAATGTCAACCCTCCAATATCTTACATAAGATCAGGTCGACGGCGCCTCTCATGAACCGATCCCAGAGTGCAAGTCAACCAACTGCATATGTGCTGAAGATGGTTGTGCCACCACCGATGCCATCCTATAATTCCCATTGAAGCACCCACGATCGTTCAAACCATTTGAACGATAATAAGAGAGGGAGTGGGTGAAGTCAGTCTACAGGTGTCGCAGGCAACAGAATATGAAGATCTTGTGGAGAAGGTGGGCAGGAAGATCCTCCAAGGAGGTTGCATGTAAAGTACAAGGATGAGGTTGGAGATATGGCAGCCTCCTACCCATTTGTTGCGCTGTGGTTGAGTCATCTGAGGGGTGAACACAATGTCTATACATGAAAACACAATGGATGACAAATTCAGCTTAATGTTACTAAGCGATTCACACCATCACATGTAGTGCTTGACTAATCCCTTAAGGTTTTGCTCAGGCAGTCATTCCGAGGGATAGGGTTGCATGGCCACTGCCCTGTGACCAGCGGCAGGGCCTGCTAAACAAGTCTCATTTTTCTGGGTACATAAGATACTATGGAGAAAAAGTGTAGAAAACTGAGCTTGGAAAAGAAAGGGTGGAGGAGAAGGTGGATGGTAAGAAAAATGGGAAGAGGGAAGTTTAACGAGGGAGGGAGGAACAAAGCGGACTGTTGTTTGAAGAGAAAATAAATGTGGCCAGCAGGGAGGGGTGTACATGAATGTAAGACTGGAAGGCCTCTGATTTACAACGACCCATTCCTTGAATGACATTGGAGGGGGTGCCATTTAATGCATAGAAAGTAGTGCCGCCAGGTCGGAAGGAATGGCCAGTGGTTTCTGAACCAAAATGAGAACGTGAGAGAGACAGGAACCAATGGTGGGTAGGGATGGAACCATCTGCACGAAGCCAGAGTTCAGGGTTGAAAGGAAATAAGCGATCATGGGAGAGGACATAGGAGCAGAAGGCAGAGATGGTGGTGGGCCCCGCTGTGGAGGAGTGAATGAGAATCTTGTTGCCTTGGAATGATTGATCAGCCTTGTGAGAAGGCAAGAGGAAGGAGAAAGAATCCATAGTGATGGAGACTGAGGAGTGTTTGATGACTTTGCGGTAGTCGTGCAGGGTGGGGTTGTCAGGCCAGACATTCTTGCCAAGACGCATAAGACAAAAGAAGGATGTGCATGTGATGGCGAGGAAAAGTAAGGTGTCATGGTCAGAGGTAGGGGAGAGGCGCAAGTTGATGGTGATGATTTCATCATGGGAAATGGCACGTTTGCGTATGGTGGGGGAGGCGCAAAGCTTGGTGCATCCTGTGAGGGTGCGCGTGACAATATTTGAGCGACGGGTGTCGCAGACAGAGGGGTAAAATGTTTCAAGCTGGTTGCAGATTCCTGAGAGGTAAGACTTCACAGACGAAGGCTTGATGTGATGGCACATATAGACGACAAAGAAGCTGAGGGTGTCAGGGTTTGGTTCAATGGGGAAGTGGTGCAAGTTACAGAAGTTGATGTAAGAATGTAGGGCAGAGGTATAGGATGTGATGGAGGCAGGCTTGAGGGCGAATCCGAGGGTGATAGCGCGTTTGTGTTGAAGGCGCTCAAGGCTCCAAGCAATCCGTGGAGGTTGCCTGGGGCCAGAAAGGGAGAGATTTATGATAGAACAGCCCCCAGCGTCAATTGAGGGGGTGTAAAATCCTTGATGTAGAGGTTAGTGTTGTGCATGCGAGCCAATGCAATCGCGTGGGAGTTGTGGTAGCGGGAGATGGAATCAGCGATGTCGTTCTGCTCTCCTGACATGTGTATGACCCAGAGCTGGCAGTCAAAGCACATCATGAGGTCTGCTGCAGTCAGAACAATGGGGTTGAGATCAGGGGTAGCACACAGGGTGCGGAAGAGGTCAACAGTGTTGGAGTTGTCAGTGTAAACCACAACTCGGTGGGGAGGGGGGTGTGTGAAGCGCAGGATCCAATCAAAAGCTGAGAGGACTGCATAGGCCTCCCAGTAGAAGATGGTATGGGGGGCGAAGGTGGGGATTGAGGCCTGGAAGCCAAGGCCATGATGTGGTGACCAGAAACCAAGGCCAAAGAGGCAGGCGTCGGAAAGAAGGAAGTAGTCAGTGTCTGTGGCTTCCCAATCCAGGGACTTGAGAAGGAATACTCCCTCACAGGATTCCAAGTGGTTGGCGGCCCACAGAAGCTCACAGTAGATCTGTGTGTTGAGATAGAGCTCTGCCGATGGTCTCTTCTTGTTGCTCATCTTCGCGTAGACTGCGCTCAAACAGGGGCGAAGCAGGGGGAAGACATTCAGAGACCAGTTGATCCAGCCAGCCATCTGCTGGAGGTCTGAAAGCTTTGGGCGCCGATTGCGGACAGCAAATTCGCGGATGGCAAGGATAAGGTCTTGGCGGGCATCAGGGGGCATGGTGAAGGACATTTTGTTGATGTCGATGTCAAAGCTGATGATGGTGAGGGTGGGGCCTGAAACTTGTTTTGCCTCATCATGAGGAATGCTGATTTCGTCCCACAGTTCAAGTAGACAAGCCTGTTTTGAGGGCATGAATTTTTGGTAGGGCTCATACCAGAGAACGTCAGACTCCAGCTCAAAGGAGAAGACGTCATCACAATAGCCAAAGAGGTCGAGGATCTCAAGTAAAGCGATAGCGATCCAGAGGACCAGGGAGAAGAAACTCCCAAATATGCCACCTGAAGCATGGCTGCCAAAGTTGCAGCAATGGTCGACATTGTAGGACCCATTGATCTTCACCACTTGCTTTGATTGCCATTCCTTTGCCAGAGGGCAAAGGCGATGGGCATCCTTCGCATCTGACTTGAAAGCCACGATGGGAACATCGAAGCCAACAGCCCTGCGGTAGTCAAGCAAGCTCTGCCCGAACTGCTGCAAGCCATCCAGGGGCACAGAGACAACCTTTTTGTCAATGAGGTTGTTCAGAGGGAATGGCTGGGCACTGTGGTTAATGCAAAGGCGAAGTTTGTCAGAGCGTTTCTTGGTGGAGACGGTGGCGGGTATGGAGAGCATGCATGGGAGGAGGGAGTTGAAGGACTCAGAGAATCGGCCTTTACTGATTTCGCATTGACGTTGTTCCTCAGCAAATTGAATGTGGGCAGGGTCCGAAAGGTACTCCTTTGCATCGAGCTTAAATGGCAGGCAGGTGCTTGCGGTATCTGCCCATGGCCAGAAACCATCAGAGAAACTGCGAACAACTGATGAGACAAAATCAGGGTTGGGATGGTGTACCAAGAGGGATTCAAGAACAGATGCACAGATGGGGCTGACGATACGGAATAGGTGGGGGTTGGAGTTGATGGAGTCCTGAAGGACTTGATTATTACGCTCGTGATCTGGGACAGGGGGTAAGGGTGGTAGAACCTCTGAGGCCATGGCAAGGGTGAGGTAGGGGTCAAGAGTGCCATCTGCTCCCCACCAGAAATGACAGACATAGGAAGGGCGTGATGAAGGCCTTCAAACCTCGAGACCTGCTTGAGGTTGTCAGTGATGTAGTCCCGGACATCACTTCCCACAGGCAGGGGCGATGTGGCCCATCAAGCGACATTTTGAGCAAATGTGAGCATAGTCACACGAGGACTGGGAATTGGGGCAGGTGCCAGCATTGTGATGCTGACAAGCTTCACATCTGGGCTTGGACATGGAAGAGGGACGATGGGAGGACCTGGTGGCTTCATCTCGAGGTAATCCTGATGATCCACCACCATTTTGGAGCCAGAGAAGGCTGAGGTCAGTGAAACTAGCATGGTCTGTAAGCAATAGGTCTCGTCATTGAGAGACGTGCAGTTGAACGGCCTTATTGAAATGAATGACCCAGCTGTGCCGCTCTGGAGGCATGGAAGTGAAGAGCTGGCGGATAAATTTTGCATATGTGACGAGCTCAGAGTTGCGATGAGGGAAGGCGAAGAGCAGTGCCTCAATGTACCCGTCCCAGGCAATGGTCCAGTCGGAGTGGGATTGGACAGTCTTAGCAGGAGTGCAGGAACCGACGACGAATTCAAGGGTTCCAACTTTCTCTCATTTTCGGTCGTTGGCTCCCATTGCATAGATCCCAGAGAGGACGTGGTTGAGGTCGACGGTACACCCAAGAATGATGTTGGTCCACTCCCCATCAGGGAATTGGGGGCATCATGCTGAGTTGAGTAGGGACGACTTCGCGAATTTTGGATCCCGGGTGAAGTTTTCAAGGCAGGTCTGTGTCTGTCTGAGCTTGAGTGAGAGTGGGGCTGGGTCAACCTCCTCCTGGATGATCCAGGGGAAGCGTGAGAGGTCGATACATCGCTTGGAAGAGATGGACTCAGGCCCGACATCCGGTCCAGGAGATCGAGGGTGCTTGGACGTGTCCTCATTCTCGACCTGGGGAGAGTGTTCAACCTGGAGCAGATTGCTGGGCTTGCCCTCGATGGTTTTGGCTTGTCTCCCAATTGGATTCGGCTCAGCAGGGAGTCGACCTCTTTCCACTGCTCCCTCTTGGAGATGGTCATGGTTGTCGAGCATTGTGAGGTAGGATTTGAGAGCCTGGACAGTAGGTCCAGCTTGGTCATTGGTGGCATAACGACCAATAATGGTTTGGAGGTGCAAGAAGACAAGAACCTTATCCACTGAACCCGCACGATATTCCTCCACACACTTCTCACACTCCTCAACAGCTTCTACAGGGAGTAGCGCAGGTGACTGGGTGGAATCCTCTTGTGGGGGATGCTCAGGGGAAGCTTGGTCGTTAGAGGTGGTGATGGCTTGATCCGTTTGCAGCGCCAAATCCATCATCAAATGAGGACAACAACTTGTTGGATGATGGGAGGTATGACAATGGTGACGCATGAGACGTACTGACTGCCTGTGGATCAAGAAATGTCAGTAAAGGAGTGTGCAAACACAGAGGCGTGTTCTGCTCACCTGGGGATCAAGAAATGTCAGGAAAGGGGTGACATTTCGAGAGTGCCCAGCGAAGAGTTCAAGTAGTGACTAATGTTTCACCCATAGGGCCAAGGGTGGAAACAAAGAGCCACTACAATGTTGTGTTGCAGAAACAACAACATGAACATACATGTTGTGCTGTTCGGGGATGAACAAGGCAGGCATGCCGGAATCGCGAGCACGTGAATTACAGAAATTCACACACCTCAGGGATTAGATTTGTGTAAACACAAGTTTTTAAATCCAATTAATTAACTGGAAAATAACTGAGACCAGACCGGACCTAACCCCAAAAAGACCGGACCACGGTTAGTGATTAGTCAATTCTGGAAATGAAATAACCAGTTATTTTGCAGTTAACTAACTGTTAAAAAACCGGTTATGACCAGTTAAAACCGACCCTATTATACCCCTTCAAAACACATCTAAAGGCATGAGAAACAATAAAAATCTGACAGAGTTATGGTCAAATTGCTAAAATATTGGCCAAAAGAGTATGCTTTCAAGAATATTATCATAAAATTGTCAATTCTTCACCGAATTTAGCATTCTTGGGCTTATTTTAAAGCTACGATACATGGCAATAATGTTTACTGCAAGAAATATGAGAAATATATGCTGTTTTAATCGACTGTTTATTTTTTCGGTCCTAACTGGTTAGTAACTGCGACTAACCGGTTTTGGTCAGTTATCTTTGGTTAGTGTTTGGAAGTTAGGTTAGTTAACCGGAAAATAACTGAGACTGGACCGAACCGTAACCGATCAGGACCACAAAAATTACCTAACCAATCCTAACCGTAACCGCGGTCCGGTTAGTGGTTAGGTGTCATCCCAAAATATTCAAGACCAAACAAAAACCGGTTAGGACCGGTTATAACCGGTCTTTGTGTCCTAACATTACACACAAATATTCCCCTGTTTAAACACTTTCTAACGATCCAAAAATCATATTTTTTAGTGGAGAATTGACATATTTACGGTGAATTGAAATTTAAGTGACTATTTTCCTGTCATCACATGTGTGATAATGTGACATTGATAAAACAATGGCAATCCATGAGAAACGCTCGCAGGTCGGGTGTACTCGACCTGCGAGGTTGTTTATGAAATATGCCGGATGCGTAGGTTGTGATGAGAAAGGCTCACAGATCGAGTACTCTCTTTCTCTCTTCATTGGGCCATCATGCGAGGCGGTGTTTCACCTACACGCACCTTGCTGGTGCATGCAGCATAATGCTTGTATTAGAAATATAATATAGGTTTGTAATTATGTTAGTACAGAGAAATAACCGGTTAGGACCGGTCATGTAACCGACTGCTAACCGTTACTAACCGATTATATCGGTTAGTAGCAGTCCGGTTTGGTTATTTTGGGTTTCGTGGCACAAGGTAACCGGTCTCGGTCTCGGTTAGAGCCCTCGAGGGCTCAATAACCGGACCGGACCAGACTTTCAAACACTATCTTTGGTCCAGTTAGGTTATTTTGGGTCTGGGAACGAACCTTAACTGGTCTTGGTCTTGGTTAGAGCCCCTGGGCACCCAATAACCTAACCTAACCAGACTTTTAAACACTAATCACATGTGGCTAGGATGACCAGGGGGTCCAGGGGGCTTGCCCCCAGCAAGCTGTGACCAGTGTCGAAGCAATGGTCAAGTGCAGCGAGTGCCATGGTGTAGACACAGGTCTAAAGCTTGTTTTATCTAAGTGATTTAGGTAGATTAGTAATACTGATAAGAATGATCCGAGATAACACCAACAACTTTAAACTGCTCAACCACTGTGCAACGATAGGATAACGTCATGTTAGTTACAGATGAAGTAGATAAGTGTCCAGGGAATTCATATCACAAATAGTCTGGTTGTGCTTAAGTCTCGCCTGAACTAGGTGAGGTGCGTGCAAACAAGACTTGAGCGTCTGATGGTTGGCAGTTTGTGGTAAATACTTGCCAAAGCCAACCAGCTGTACCAACCCGAGTGTAAGCTCACAATGGCAGGTTGGTGAGGCAAGGGTGAGCCAAACTGGCTGCCCAAATTTGAAATTGAGTGTTACAAGGGATTGCATTTCTTTGAAAAGGCCGTGTAAGGAAGCTAAGCATAACATTTTGGATGTCCAAAGGTGGGTTTCTAAATCTATTGAGATGTATTGTATGTGAGATGGGATTCTATAGTCTAGTGAGATGTAGTGAGATATGTGAGAGGTTTTCTAATATTCTAGTGTGATGAGCCAGAAGAAGTGAAGCTGTCAAGCAGGGCAGAAGGGATTTTGTGATTAATGTGGAATTGTTCAAAGATAGATGTGAGGAGGTTGAGATGCACTTGATTGTAAGCTTTTGAGGTGGACATGGGAATAATTTCATCCATGCAGCACCAGTAGAGTAGGAAAGCGAGCAAAGTCCAACCACCTGTTGCCACCACGATTTCTGGGGGAACCCTGGCAAGCAGAAGCTCCACAGCACCACCGATGCGGAAACTCTGTCCCAATACATGAGTAAGCAATGTGGAAGACCAGATCCTGGTGACGAATTTGAGAAATTTGGTCTTGAGAAGATTCTTTGGTTTGCCAGATGTCAATATGTAGGCAAAGAGAGCTGAAGAGGAAGGGACTGGGGAATTGACGTGGAGGTGGTTCTTGAGGGCTTTTACTGGGCACAAAGGATTGCCCACATGACGTGTGGTGAGGATCACAGTGGTCCTGAGTTCTTTGGTTGTCTTAGTCCAAGGGATCTGGAATGATGCAGAGCAGGCGCCATCTTGCAATTCATGGAATGAGACTTTGGCAGAGTGGGTGACATGGTATGCACTGTCAAATGCGGCAGCAATCCCAATGGTTGTTTCGCCAAGGTGGTGACAACTGAAGAATGTGATGAGGGCAATGGCCCATACTGCAGTGTGGAAGTGATTGGAGAGGACCAAGGATCAGCGAAGGCAGGCCAGGTGCTCCATAGAGACTGGAGCTCAGAGAGGTCACTTGTGTTTCGTACCCTCCTTGTTTGCAGAGATGTGGGCGAGGTGCACCCAATCGTTGTCGCCATACCAAGGAGCATGGTTCATAATGTGCCAGCTGCAAAGGCCTGCCATCCAGGAACAGATGGTGTTGCCTGATTGGAGACCCTTGTACTTGCCTATGAAAGCACACAGGAGATTGTAATCTGTGGGCATGCAAGCCTCCTCACTGATACCCCACTTATCACAGAACAGGGTGAAGTGTAAAGGCCCAGCACCATATGTGGATTTTGTGTTGGGAGCTAGAGCTCCATGAACAGCCATTAGTGCAGATTCGACAAGTGGGGCTGGCAGTCTTAGTGATATGTTGGCGTGGTGACAGGAACCAAAGAGGGTGTGCCACAAGAAGATCCTGTCTGCTGCAGGAACGTGTGGGTGCAGTTCATTATGTGTGATGGAGCGACCAAACTGGGGTTTGCGAGGGTGTATGGTGTGTTGAGGAGAATCAAAAGGCAGGGATGGAGGAGGAGTCAGTGGGCTGAGGGGAGTGGGTGAGCTAGAGGATGGGAAGGGATGTGATTGAGTAGGCACGGATGTAGGGGAAACATTGTTGGGAGGGTAAGAATGAGGCTGAGGATGAAGGAAAGGGTGAAAAGAGTTTTGAGGGCATGTGGGGCATGGTGAGATAGAGGTGGGAGATTTTACCTCACCCATGGACCTCTCAGCAACATGAGTCGACAAGGTGAGCTTATGGTCAAGGCTAAACATAGGTAAAACAATCGATTAGCTCAAGAGGGAGCTTGAAATTGTGGGACAATTGCTTCCCAACTTTCCCTGGTTCTTCACACGAGATGGGGTCAGCTGGGTTAGCGGCTGAGTCGATGTAAACGATTTCTGGACAAATCAAGAGGTGGGATAGGATGAGGCATGTGCAGCGAACAGATAAGTTGATGTGGGAGTTAGGGCTGTGGCCCTTGTTGAGCACACCAATGGTCCCCTGATTGTTAGAATGAATGAGTAGGTGGCAGTCTGTCAGGTTCCTTTCTTCAAGGAAATAGGTCAGCAGCTCAACTGCCACCATTTCCAACCAGCAAATGTCCCTGCCCATGACCTTCCAGGTGGGAGACAAATGGAAGGAGGCCCAGTGGTCTCCGATGATGATGCTGATACCCCATGATGTTGAGGCGTCAACATATAGGCCCAAGTCCTGGAGAGGGCCGCAGGGGTGCAGAGCATGGGTCACACCCATGTCATCAAGCCTCTGAAGCCACCATGACAAATCTGTCATTATGGAGTGTGGGGGATGCCTGGCCATGAGTTCGTTGTTATGGAAAGATGAGGTGAAGTTGGATAAGGAGGGCAGGTGGGAGCAGCCATCCATGTACATGAAGGCAATGTGGCACAAGGAGCCATGGATCTTCTCAACATCGAGCAGGTGGCAAGAACGATGCCTGAAGTCATTGAGAAAGCACCATATGTGTTTGTGGAATTTTAAACGCTTGTCATTGGGGAGGCTGACAAGTTTCGCTGGGATGTCCCAACAGAACTCAATGAAAGTGGTGATGAAGAGAAAGTGATCATCACCTTTCTCTTCATGCCAGAGAACACCCAAAGGAGCAATACAACACATTATTTCATTGTGATCATATTCATAGGAGAAATCTCCATCAGTGAAAGCACCTGTTGGTGATGGGATGTGGAAAAACTTCAAATCGTCCTCATATTTGGGACAGGAGATACGCCTTCAGCTCTCCAGATGTCAACAACAGCATTGGCAATCATCCCAGCATTGCTGCTAGCACAGGCAGCACCGAAAGGATGGGCATGATCAACAAAGAATTGACCAGGGAAACCCTGGATGACGAGCCAGGGGACAACGAGCCAGGGTTTGTGCGAAGGTAAGACTGGACATGTCCAGTGGAAAGCCTTAATATCCAATGTGCAAGCCTGAGTCCCAGGCGGAGCAAGAGCGATCTGCATGCACACATAAGTAAGGAACATGTAGAGGGTATGCAAGAGGAACAGGAGGAGAGTGAGACTCAGTAGCAGGACAAGTACCATGAGGTACAAGTATGGACATCATGAGATGCCAATCAGACAAAGGGGAACATGTATTGTACTCCGTGTGCAAGTTGTGTAAGAGGTGCATGGACAAGTGTCCGAGATAACACACAAGTAGTGCAAATATCCCAATCTGCAAAGCGGCAAAGAAGAAAACATG